TCTCAAACGAGGCCATTATTTGTCCCATTTTATTTCACTTTTTATATGTAATTTAAAATAATCTAAATATCATTATTTAAGAAAAATAAAAACAAATATATTTTAAGTCATCGTTGCTTCCTGTAAAGTTGAAAGTTTAGTTGACAAATGATTTCTACAACTTTCACAAATGATTAACAGAGCACTACAGTGAAATGGGGCCCGCACAAAGGTCTAATTGATTGTTCTATCGCAAAGGCATTCACAAAAAAGAAGAAATTAAAAAGAGTTATAAGTGATAAGATAAAAATTAAAAACTAAAAAAATTGTAAAAGCATGAAAAAGTTTGTCACTTTAATTGTATGTTTGTTGGTTAATTTTTTTTGGAAACTTACCTTGCATTGCAATTTTCACTATAAAAAAAAAAAGATTTGACTATTCTAGTTAAAAAATTAGACTCACTTTTAGATCGAAATATGTGACACTCTATTAAAATATCTAAGTCAACTCTCTCCCTTATTTATTCTCTAATCATCAACCACTTATCACAAATAAAAAGCCACAAATACATTAAGTAGTCAATCCTTGTCACTCACTAATCCAAAAAAAATTGTGATTTCTATCGTAAATTAATAATACTCATCGAATAATAATATGGCCACGTGACATGGAGTGATTATTTGGTGGTCGTAGAGATTACTCCACACCACTTATCACTTGAGAAGTGTCAAATTGTCTCCTACAATTCTAATAAAAAAAATGTTGTATCTCACAATTCTGACCAATCAATAACAATAATAACAAGGTGAGTCACAATGTGAATTTGCGCTAGACAACTATGACTTCCTTTAGAATAAATTTTTTATTTTGACTTTTTGGTTTTTTTTTTTTTTAGCTGTTTTAGTTTGTTTAAAAAGGTTTCATTTGGAATAAATTTTTAGTTTTTTTTTTAATTTTGTAAGAGAAAAACTTGAATAATTATGATTTGAATGTGATATTTTATTTTATTAACTTTTTAATTTATTTTGTATTTTAATAAGTTAAATTAGTTCTAACAATCTTTTCGAACAGGACTATTTGTTCATCAATCTCAGACTTAGCACTCATTTGGTATAAGGTTACGGAGCTAAAATAGTTATAAAAAGATAAAATAAATTAAAAAATTAATAAAATAAAATGTAATATTCAAATTATAATTATTTTATTTTTTCTCTCATAAAAGTTAAAATATCCATCCTAAACGAGCCTTTTAATCTTCAACTAAAAAATCAAAAAAGCGAACTCACATCAGGATGGAACTCTTAATCGTGGGAATTTAAATAAAAATTGAAGGCTAGGCAAATATCATTGGTTAAAAAATTATCATGAGTAGGTGCTACGTCTGATTGTTGCAGGTTAACAAAGAGAAATGCCTCAGGTCTAAGAACTGGTGCAACAAAGGAGATGAGAGAGAATTTGATAGAAACGGTCTTGACCCAAAGTTGAAGAAAACATAAGAGAAAATACAGAAAGAGAAGAGGAGAGAAGAAAGACAAAAGAGACACACAGAGGAGAACAATATGTATAGAAGGATATGGAGGATTCTTCCACAAGTCCTGTCAACCGAAAGAAGCATTCATCAATTTGCTGAGGGATATTCTCAGGTAAATGTGAGAGATGATTTGTTCTTCTTGGAGGATAAATATTTATATATATATATATATATTAGTGTTTATTTTGTCAAATCATATTCAAGCACTCATGAAGCTTGAATACATGTCCTGCTCCATGATCATGGACACCTAGTAGAACATCTTCTTCTTCTTGTTCCTTACCTAACCTCCACCGTTGAATACATATCAAAATTAAACAAACAACCATAAAAGCAGCAACGAAAATCAATTTCAGATATTTTGAATTTTGGGTTATGGGTCAGAGATCTTTGAAGTAGAAAGCAAATAAAAAACATCAAAAAAAAATGCAAATGAAAAACATCAAAAAACATGTATTCAAAGATGTAAACATTCAAATATTCAATTGTGGGTACAGTGGTGTTGCCTTTGTTGAATTCACTATTAATATATGTGTATGAACCAATCCTTTGTTGGGGATAATTTGACACTAGTTGATCATGTTTGACGCTCGGTCTGGGTCTTGTTATGTTTCCGTCGGGTGCATTTCAGAAGAAGTTCAATAGCACAATGGTGCCTGTGTCGTCAATTGCATCTTTATCTGATCTCTCACATCTTCCAATCTGAAGGCGGTGCATTTCAAAGACATGATCTCATGGCCGGTGTGGTGGTGATGGGTCCCTCATCTGCCTTGGATCTTTCTTCTTCTTCTTCTTCTTCTTCTTTTGAAGATTTGAGCTCAGATCTGTTCCACCACTAGTTCAAACTGCCAGTTCCGCTATGGCCTTGTCTTTGATTCTGAAATCGTTGAGTTTGATTTGTTTGTGTTTGATTTAAACAGATTAAAAAAAAAAAAAGTTGATTTGTTTATGTTTGATTTAAACTGATAAAAAAAAGTGTTGATCTGCTTATGTTTGATAATACTCTTTTTTCAATTTGTTTTCTTCTAATTTTTCATTCAAAGCGATTGCAACAAATAGTAATAATTTTGAAGAGTTCGTTGATGTTGTTATTAATTTATTTTTTTATTTTTGTTGATGATAATAAACGAGATTGTAACAGATAGGTGTTGATTTTTTGTGATGGTTGTCGTTGTTGAGTTTTTGTTGTTCTTGTTTGTTGATGATGAAATTACAGCAGATAGCGAGAGAGAAGAAAGTTTTAACCAGATAGAAGAAAAAAATTAACAAATAATCAAATTTGGTCACATATTTGAACAGATAAGTGGAAAAAAATTGAACATATAATAAATTTGGACACAAAGTTTTATTTGAAAAAATATTTAAACAGATAAGGGAAATTTGAATTGAAATGGTTAAAAAATTAAACAGATAGGGTAAAAAAATTAACAGATTGGGAAAAATTTTAAACATATAGAAAAAAAATTGAACAGATAGTCAACAAATAAAAAAAGTCAACAGATAAATTAAGGGATAAAATTGAAAACAAAATGTTCTTCATAACAAACAAAAATACTTGTCTCCAAACTATTCACAAAGGGACTTCTCACCAAATTATTCACTCCTCTTACCAACAAAAAATATCCATTGACCCTAATGCTTTATATCATCCTTAGCTTGGACTTTTCAACAATTAACCCTTATTAATTAGGGGTGAATTATAGCCATAGCCCCTCGAATATGACACTTGTTTCATTTTAATTCTTATATTAATAATGGTGCCATTTAAATCCCTCAAGATTCAATTCCGAATCAATTTAGTCCTCGAAGGAAATATAGAAATAAATTATAAACTCAGAAATTCAATTAATTATTATAAGGACCTATTTTCCTATTAGTATAATTATAAAATCCCTAGAAAATTGTTTGTATTTAGAATCAATATCAAAGTCTGTTTTCTAAACCTTGCCAATATAAATATATGAGCATTAGGTATACTAAAGAAGTCGAATAAGATAATTTAAATAATAATACTTCACTATAAATAGTAATTGAATAAAATAATACTATAATCAGATTATTAAAACATGAAATTCAACATCTACTATTAGGTAAATGTAAGCAATTAGTTATTGTAGAAATAAGTAAGAAAACAGCACATAATTATTTTTATCCTTATAAGGGGAACACTCTAAAGGAAGCTTTTGAATTAATATCACCCCCCCCCAAAAAAAATGTGATAAAATAAAAAATAAAATAAAAGTTTTTTTTTTTTTTTTAATAATGTACCAAAACTTAAGAGGTAAGAATATAATAACTAAAATATTATAGTCAATATTGTAAAGCAAAAGAGACCAAAGTCGAACAAAATAAACAAGGTAAATTATGACGGTAGTCCCTGTACTTAACTCTTTGTGTCATTTTAGTTTCTATATTTTCAATTGGTTTGATTTTGACCATATATTTATGATTTTGTCTCAATTCGGTCCAATTAATTAAATTCTTAGCATTTTTTTATGAAAAATATGCACATAAATGTCACGTGTCATATTTTTAAGGGTAAAATTATAAATTTACTTAAATCAGTTAGTTAAGCTCAACCAATTTAATGATAATTTTTCTTAAAAACACTAACGATATTATTAATTGGACCAAAATTAAAACAAAATCTAAAATTAAGAGTTAAACTTGAACCAATTGAAAGTGTAGAGACCAAAATGACACAAGGGGTAAAATATAGGGACCATCATTGCAATTTACCCAAATAATTATAAGGACCAAATTGAAATTTGAGGAAACTAAGGGGGGTGTTTGATTCAAGAGATTAGGGGAGGACTATTCACTGTGCAGACATGGAGTCCATTCTACATGTTAGTTTAGCGTTTGTTTTTTTTTTTAGTCCACCGAATATGGAGTACAGCCAGACTCCTTATCCCTCATATGGGGGACTATTGTATCCTAGGGGGTGGGACAATTTTCAGGGGACTATCACTGTTAGGATTAGGTGATGAAATGACCATTTTGACCCTCTACTATTTAATTATGTATTATATTTAGTAAAATTCAATAAAATTTAAATGTTTCAATTTAAAAATAAAATAATTTATTTAACTTTTTATTGATGTTTTATTTATTTAATTTTTTTAAATATTTTTTTATAGATATTTTATTGATGTTTTATTTTAAAATTTTGTTTATATTTTATTTAATTTCATTATTTAAATTTTAATAGATGTTTTATTTAATTTCATTATTAAATTATTATTATTTTTAAAAATAAATTTATTTAAAATTTTAATTGAAAAAATAACATATATTTTAATTGATATTTCATTTATTTATTTAAAAATAAATAAATTTATTTAATTGTGTAAAAAATAAAATAAAATAAATTTTTATTTAATCTAGCTAAAAATAATTAAAATATTAAAGGTATGTTTAATATTGCTATTACTTACTAATTCACTAAAAATAATATAATTCAGACATCTAACTTCATAAGGAAACAAGCATGAACCACACCTCCAATCCGACCAAATATGCCGAGGATTCACAATTCACAATCCAAGATTCCAACCCGATAAATTCTGATTCTTACTCAGTCCGTCTAATGAAACAAACCCTATTGTATTGCTAAAATTCCCAAAGCTTAGCCCAAACCCTAACGAGGACCGATTCTTCAAATTCAAACCCATAAATTTTCCGGCGAAACATCCCCTGTTTCCGGCGCCCGCACGGCGGTCATGACGTCATCCGGCAGTGGTTCCAGTGAGTTCCCATTCATTGATATGAGAAATTTGTGTTTTTTATTTGTATATGTGTGGATACATGTATTCAATATAAAAGTTTATTGATGTTATCTGGGAAATCAATGTTTATGGGGTCATGAATGATGAGAAGTAGATTGGTACTTGCTTAGTAGATAACAACCCATCTGTCAGAAATGGTTTTTGCTATGAATTTACTTCTGATTTCTCATTTTGAAGGATTTTTTTAGGTAGATATGAATTTAGAGTATGTTTGGATGATGGGAATCTTGAGGGAGAATAGGAATGTGATTCCGGGTCCGTTGATTCCATAGTTTGGGAATGGATTGGGGAGGAAAATGATTACTGATTACTATTTCAGTACTAGGAGTATCTCCAATCTTAACTTATTTTCTTCATCAAATGTTCATCTAATCGATGGAGAAACATTTTTTTCATCAAATTGAAAATTCCTCATATTTGAATTTGATGAACATTTAAAAAGGTGAAGCATTGGAGATGATTTTTTTTTTTTCCTCATCAAATTTGTTGAAAAGAGAAATTTGGGATAAGAGGGGAATTCTTAAGAGGATTTTGATAAAAATTTGATGAAAGGATTGGGGTAGTTCAAAGCAAATCAAGCTTTAATTTCAAATTTGGAATCAAATTAGATGAATATTTGTCCAATTTTGGTAGCCATCTTTCGTGGGTGAAAAGCACCCACTTTGTAGAAATTTGTAGTCTCTCAGTCTTAGTGCATTTAGTAGCTTAGCTTCGTAATTTTTGCTCTTGAGCAATTGCACAATTTTCAAAAAACTTCAAAGGACTTTTTTATGTAAGAGGCAGCTGCCTGCTTCGAAGTATCAGCTGTTCTATTCGAGTCTTACACTCCATTTGTTTGGGAAGAATTTCTTGCATTTTTTGATGTTTGGTACAATGGAAAAAGTTTTCCATGGTCAACGAAAAAGAAACTCAATTAGGAGGAAAATGTTTTCTACTTCTGAAAGGTGGAAAACCTTTTTCGTCACCGCCACCACCACCAGGTCAACGAAAAAGAAACTCAATTAGGAGGAAAATGTTTTCTACTTCTGAAAGGTGGAAAACCTTTTTCGTCACCGCCACCACCACCACCACCACAACCACCTACATCATCACTACTATTATAATCACTAGCACATTAGTTTCAAGGTCGCAACCAAACGTAAGAAAAAAATTCTATTAAACCAAAAAAAAAAAAAAAATGGAAACGTTTTCATCGAAATGAACGGAGCATTAGAGATAATTGGTTTTCTACCTGAGAGTTCCTTATGTAAAGGGCGTTTGGAAAGGCCTTATGGACAATTTGGAAGAATTTCAAAAGAGTTTGTGTACTTGCAATTTGGTGTTGGATATCATTTGACTTTCATGTGTATTTTAGTATCAGCAAATTATCATGAAGTCTTACTCTGTAGATCTATGAAATATTTAAGTGATCACTGTGCTTTTGTGACCAACTATTTGATGGCACGTTTTGATGAATGGGGACAGTCATGATCTTTGATATTTTGGATATGCTTTACTTTATGAACCTGCATAAATTCCAAAAGGATGCATTAGCTTGGAAAAACAATCAAAATGGTCATTCTCAGTTACATCTTGTCGAATGGTTTCATCTTGTTCCTGCAGAGCCCTTACTCTGGTTCCTCTAAAAGTGGCCTTTTCAACTTGGATAGTTGTCCAGAGATTATAATTGTTGGGATAAATTACACTAACATTGTAACGCCCTCAAAATAATAACATTAAACCCATCAGATAAGACACGCATCTTCATATAAACTAACCTCATTCCTTTCATTCATTAGAATTCCAAGACATAAGTATTACATGTTAACATCATAACAATAGGCTTGGCATAATTCTACCATCCTCCCATATAATTTAATTCGCATCACACACACTTACTCCATTGCCATTAGTTAACCGTTAATAAGATGGATGAAATACGATGATTTCAGCCAATTTTACTAAGATGTCTATTTTGCTCTTAGTCTTATAAAGTTAACAGCATCAATGTGAAGGGGAGGTCAGTGTAAATATGTCAAAACCTGTGGAATTTTTTGTATTTAACCCAAACCTCAAGGGAGGTCAATGTAATTTATCCTAATTGAAATGTCAATACTTCACCAGAAGAACATTGAATTATATGCTGGTCTTTTACTTGAAGTGTTTTAATCCACAGTACAGTTTATTTCATTTCACATTGTTTTTGTTGATCAATAATAACTGAATATATTTAATTATCCAAGTGGTCCAAGAAGCATGAAATTTGCTCTCTCCATATATATCTTGAAGATGTATAGGGCTATGTTTCAACCCAAGGAGTGAATTGATAAAAAGTAATTGTTCTTATAATAGTGATATACAAACTGAAAATTCATACAAAATTTTTGTATGTAATGATATGGTTTGCTGTGGACCTTTCAAAAGACCCATTGAGATGGCTTTCATTTACAATTATGTTCTTGTAGCAAATTCTATATAAAGGAGAGGGTGGGAGTTCAACTCCCTCCAAGTGCTAATCTAATAACTAACCTTTAACTTTTGCCGATTAAAAAAAAAAATCTATATAAATATTATGGTGGTTTAGCATTTTCCCTTATTCTTATCAGGAGCAGTGGACACTGGGGTGGTATTAAATGGGGATAAACTCGTATTAAGAGGACTGAAGTTCCACGGGTTTCACGGGGTGAAGCCTGAAGAAAGGAAGCTAGGTCAGAAGTTTTTGGTAGATGTAGACGCCTGGACGGATCTCCAAGAAGCTGGCAAATCTGATCTCTTGTCAGATACCATCAGTTACACGGAGATATACCGGTGAGTGTTACCAACAAATCAATCAAGTCATAGACAACAAAGTTTCCAAAATTCTACACTGGTTTCTCACAGCATTTCAGATCACCTTAAATTTTTGTTCATTTATGTGATGTGTGTATATGTGTATATGTATATAGTAGTATTAATTCCACCTGATGTGCAACTTCTTGTTTTTACACAGCTCAATAACAGTTAAAAATAAAAGAAGAAATTTATGAGAGAAGGAAGAAGATGATGGAATAGAGAATAAGAGAAAAAGAAATAAGGAGGCACAAAACCTAATCAATTGGTTTGTACTCTCTAATTATGTATATTTATACTAATAAGTAACAAGTAGACAATTACGCAACTACCTTTCATCTAATCTTAACACTTCCCCTCAAGTAGGTGCATAGATATCTCTCATACTCAACTTGCACACAATGGGATGAAAAACCTTACTGCCTAACCCTTTAGTAAATATATCAGCTAACTGCTCTTTTGATTTTACAAAACGCATACAAATACTCCACTGCTGATTTTCTCCTTGACAAAATGTCTGTCAATCTCAACGTGTTTAGTTCTATCATGTAGAATTGGATTATGGTTTATGTTAATAGCAGCCTTATTGTCACAATACAATCTCATTGGCCCACTACTTAACAATCCCAAGTCAGTCAATAAAACTTGAAGCTACATAAGTTCACAAATGCCATTTCCCATGGCCCAATATTCTGCTTCTGCACTCGATCTGGCTACGACTGCTTGCTTCTTTCTTCGCCAAGTCACGAGATTCCCTTCTATAAAGGTACAATAACCTGATGTAGACCTCCTGTCATCAACTGCACCAACCCAATCTACATCAGTGAAGGCTTCTAGCAGCAAGTAACCATGATTGGAGAGCAATATCCCTTTTCCTGGCGCTGATTTTAAATACCTCAAGATCCGATTAACTGCATCCAAATGACCTACTCAAGGATCATCCATGAATTGGCTTACTACACTCACAACATATGCAATATCTCGTCTAGTATGAGAAAGGTATATTAATCTCCCCACAAGTCTCTGATATCTTCCCTTGTCAACACAATCTCCATGGAGGAATCTGGTCTGTGATTAGCTTCAATGGGGGAATCTGCCGGTCTACACCCCAACATCCCCTATTTCCTCAAGTAGATCTAAGATGTATTTTCTTTGAGAGATAAATATTCCCTTGTTTGATCTAGCAATTTCAATCCCAAGAAAGTACCGTAAAGGCCCAGGTCTTTAATTTCAAATTCCTTAGAAAGTCGAGCTTTGATTTGGGACATTTCCTCTGCTTCATTACCAGTCACAACTATGACATCCACGTAGACAATAAGTATAGTAATCTTATCAACACACTATGATCTGTATGACTTTGCTTATATCCAAATCTAATCATCGCCTTCAGAAACTTGTCAAACCAGGCTCTAGGAGACTGTTTCAAAGTATACAATACCTTCTTTAACCAACAGACCTTTCCATTAGTTGTTGGAGAGGAAAAACCAAGAGGAACATCTATATATACTTATTCTTCAAGATCACCACGGAGAAAAGCATTCTTGACATCCAATTATTGCAATGGCCACCCCAGATTTGGTGCACAGGAAAGTAGGACACGAATAGAATTCATCTTAGCCACTGGGGCAAAGGTCTCCTGATAGTCAATGCCATAAGTCTAAGTGAATCCTTTAGCAACTAGTCTCGTCTTATATCGCTCAATGGTTCCATCTACTTTTTGCTTAATGGTGAACACCCATCTGCAGCCCACAGGCCTTTTTCCCAATGGTAGAGAAATTAACTCCCAAGTGTCATTATTACTTAGAGCTCTCATCTCCTCTGCCAAAGCTTCTTTCCACTTGAGATCATTGAGTGCTTCCTTCCAACCCAACGGAATAGATACAAAAGACAGATGAAACAAATGTGCAATATGATGGAAATAAGAAGTCATATGACACAAAATTAGATTTTTTAATATTGAGTACAAGTTCTAACTCATTTTCTAATAGCAATAGGAAGATCTAGATCATCAACGGGAGTGGGAGTCGTGGCCAAGGACTCATTACTTGAAGGGTCCACGGAAGAATTAGTAACGGATCCAAGGATGGCGATGATAGAGACATTCATATGGTTTTTATCGATCTTGAGAAAACATATAATAGAGTATCTCGGGCTATGATATGGTGGGTGTTAGAGAAGAAAGAGGTGACCAAAGGTTACATTGATGTGATTAGGGATATATATGAAGATGTGGTGACCACTATTAGATCCCCTATTAGAGAGACGAGTGAATTTTCAATTATTGTAGGGTTACACCAAGGATTAACCGTAAGTTTTTTTCTTTTCGCTTTAGTTATCAATGAGTTGATGCGCAATATTCAGGATGATGTGTCATGGTTTATGCTTTTTGTAGATGATAGCATGTTAATAGATCAGACTAGAGTAGGAGTTAACACTAAGTTGGAGATTTGGAGAAAAGTACTTGAATAGGATAAACAAAACTAAGACAGAGTATATGGAGTGTAATTTTAGTAACAGTCACAATGGAAGCAGAGGAGAAGTGAAGATTGAGAATCAAGAACTACTTAAGAGTGAACATTTTCGTTATTTAGGATCGATTATCACAACGACTGGGAGATTGGAGCGGATGTAGTACACAAAATTAAGGTGGGGTGGCTTAAGTGGAGGAGTGCGTCTGGAGTACTGTGTGATAAACGAGATTGGACTAAAAAGGAAGCTCTATAGAACAGTTATTAAACCAGCGCTGTTGTATGGAACGGAATGTTAGGCAATTAAGAAACAATATGTAGATAAGAGGAGTGTTGTTGAGATGAGGATGCTAAGGTGGATGTGTGGCAAGACTAAAAAAGACAAAGTTAGAGATGAGTATTTTCGAGAATGGGTAAGAGTAGTACCAATAGAAGATAAGTTGACTGAGAATAGATTGAGATGGTTTGGTCATATACAACGGAGACCAACAAAGACAGTAGTGAAGTTATGCGATATAGTGACGGTAGATAGCAGTGTTAGAAGAAGGGGTAAACCTAGATTGACGTGGATTAGTAAAGTAAATAGAGATATGAATCTCCTTAATTTGACTAACGAAATGGCCTTAGATAGAGTCGAGTGAAGAAAAGCTGACCCCATTTGATGGGACTTAAGGCAAGGCTTGGTTTGGTTTGGTTATCCAGGGATGGCGATGAGTATGGCGGCACATGAGATGACTATTCTCTTTGTCGCCGAGAGTAAGTCTTGAAATCTGATCTATCCAACTGTCTCTCTCCTTGAACACACTTAGTTTACATCTCCTCACAAGATTGTTCCGCCTCCCCCTCACCACAAATGGTACAAAAAAAATAGGGATCAACTTTGATGAAGAAATAATCTCTTTTGTAGAAACCTCCCCCTGAAGAGATTGACCTGAAAAAAAGCATTCAAACTCACAAAAGGTAACATCCATAGTAACATAGAATTTACGAGAGTAAGGATCATCACACTTATAGCCTTTCTGGGTAGAGGAATAACAAAGGAAAACATAGCACACCACTTTAGGATCTAGTTTGCTCTGAGTGATGCGAGAGGAATGAACAAAAGAAACACAACCAAACACTTTAGGGTGAAGAGATATGGGAGACACAGAAGTGCTAGGGAGAAGTTGGAGAGGGCGCTGAAACTGAAGGACACTAATAAGATATGCGGTGGTGAGAACCGCATCACCCCAGAATGGCTTGGGAACTTGCATTGTGAACATAAGAGTACGTGCAACCTCAAGAAGTTGACAGTTTTTCCGTTCGGCAACACCATTTGTTCAAAGGTACCGACACAACTAGTTTGATAAAGTATACCATGTTCTTCAAGATACGCACAAAAGTCGCCATCAATATATTCAGTGCTATTGTCACTTCGAAGGATTTTAATGGGAGTGGCAAACTGAGTATGGACCATCATATGGAATATTTTAAGACAAGAGAAAACTTCACTCTTGGTACGAAGCATGTAAATCGAAGTGACACGAGAATTACAGTTAATAAAAGTGACAAACCAACGATAGCCAGACATAGATATAACACGAAAGGGACACCATACATCAGAATGAATAAACATAAAAGGAAGCAAACTTCTTTTATTAATTGGAGGATAACAAGAACTTTTATGCTTTGCAACACTAAACTAGAGAGAAATTTGTTTAAAACAAAAAATAGGGGAATGCCCTAAATGCCGATGCCACTGATAAAAGAGGAAGTCCGAGAGTGACTGTAATCTGAAAAGCTTGTCAAGCAGAGAATTCAGCATCTAAAAAATACAAGCTCTTATGTGCTTTACCACTGCCAATCGTTCTCTTCGTATCCAGTTCCTGAAAGACACAATGAGAAGGATAAAAGGTTATGGAACATTTTAAACAAGTGGTAAGACGATTAACAGAAAGCAAGTTAATAGAGAAATTTGGGACATGTAAAACAGATGATAAAGAAATAGAAGGAGAACAATGAATAGAGCATGTCCCAGAGACAGAGGATAAAGACCCATCAGCCACTTGCTTTGGCTTTAAATGGGCCCCCTGCTGGACGGTGGGATTGGTCCTCCAGGGATTAGTCGAGGTGCACGCAAGCTAGCCCGGACACCCTGAGTTATAAAAAAAAAACACCCATCAGCCACTCTCACTTTATCCTTTGCCTGAACAAGGGGAGTAAGAGTGGAAAAGGTTAGACAAACCTGTCATATAATTAGTAGCACCAGAGTCAATAATCCAAGGAGATGATGAGGCAACACTCAGGGCACGCGAAGGAATACTTGCGGAAGCAAAGTTGGAGGAAGAAGGATCAGAAACAGTGGCAGGAGAATAATCAAGCTAAGGCATCAGCTGTTGGAGAGTGTGTAGCTCGTCTTGGGAAAGTGTTGCGGGATCACTTGAAGTATTGGGAGATGATTCTGAGAGATGTGCATGAGAGTGAACAATACCGTCACGGTTACCACGACCACCACTTCATCCTTGAATAGGATGACCATGCAACTTCCAACAATGGTCCTGATCATGACGTTCTTTCCCACAATAATCACAAATGACCTGATCACGATCGTTAGAGGGGCCTTTTCTTCCAGACTTGGACTGACCAAATTTCCCATCTATAGGAGTAGAGGAAACGGCTAAAGGGGCTGATGAACCATAGCACTCGGCTTGCTTTCTTCCTGCAGAACATAAGCATAAGCCTCACGCATGGTAGGAAACAGATCACAGCCAAGGACTTGAACACAAATCGGATCATACTCCATGTTAAGACCAGCAAGGAAGTCATACACACTCTTTGGACACCATCTGCTGAAACATAGTAGCATCTTGGGAACACCGCCTGGATATTGTGATAATAGTCGAGTTCCTGCCACAAACTACTCAACTCTGAATAATACTCAGCGAGAGATCTATCTTTCTAATCAAAGCCACGAATCTTTTTCCACAATTCATAGGCCTGAGCATCATTACCTCGTCGAGAATACATTTGATTTGCAGTTGTCCAAATCTCATTAGCAGTATTCATCAAAACAAAGGATTGACTAATACTGGAATGGATAGAATTGAGAAACCAGGTCATGACAAGGGCATTCTACTTATTCCATTTGTCACGCTCTATTCCATCCTCCGTGGGAGCCTTAGTAACACCTTTGATGTATCCCAACAGGGCACAAGCAGTAATGGCCAACTGAAAAGAACGAGACCACACCAAACAATTGGTGCCATCCAACTTAATAGAGGTAAGTGAGAAGAGTTGTCACCAAGTGTCACGCTATGACCCAAACTTTTAGTCTCACTGTTTGCAGGATTCTCGCCTTCGGCAGCCATGAGTTAAGGCCACACAACAAGATTAAAAATTAGGATGAACAGAGAACAAATTTCTGTCTGGCAGCGTAAATCTTCCTCCAAAAACAAACTGGAAGCAGCAGAAACAGCAAGAAAAACAGCCCAAAAACAGCAGGAAAGCACTCCTGATAGAACCAAAAGAGCCAACAACCACCAAAACCAACCCAGAAGTCAAAATCAAAGCCAAGGGAGGCTACAAACAGGCTGGTCGGCTCCTAGAGAAGGGAGCCGAAGCCATGGTTCAAGCAAAAACTGGCTTAAAGGTCGATTTTGAAAAAACAATCCATGAATCGCAAAAATAAAGAAAAATTCAAAAAATAGGTAAGGAATATCACAAAAAAATTGAAAGTTTTTCAGGGTACTCCCCAGCCCTAGTTGAGCATGCTGGGAAATTTTTTTTTTATTTTTATTTTTTATTTTTTTACATGATTGAACAGCAAAGAAAAAGACAAAAGGACACAAAGGTACTGTGTGCTCTGATACCAAGTTAAAAACAAAAGAAGAAATTTAAGAGACAAGGAAGAAGATGATGGAATAGAGAATAAGAGAAAAAGAAATAAGGAGGCACAAAACCTAATCAATTGGTTTGTCCTCCCTAACTAGGTATATTTATACTAATAAGTAACAAGTAGACAATTACACAACTACCCTTCATCTAATCTTAACAATAACATTTTGTGAAACCATATTATTTGTCAAGCTCAATTTCTTGTTGAACAGAGATTGAGATGTCCAATTCATATTTTACTCAAAAATATTATTGTATTATACTAGATGTGACCAACATCAAATGCCCATGATCTTTGATGAAATTGAAGTTTATAAAAGTGCTGAGCATGGAGGACAAGTATTCTAATGGTGGATTTGGCAAAATGTGTTGCAAAAAAATTTATTGAAGGGTGTTAAATAAAGAAGTCTGCACCAGTTGTAATTTGATTTTCTCCCATATACATGCATAGCACCCAGTTATCTTAAATGAACTCTTCTAAATGCATGAGGCACCTGTACCGGATATAGGACACTTGGATAAAGGTATGGGATACTTGTTTGGAACGTGTAATTGGACATGTACCCAACAAGCATGGTTGATAATTCAAGGAATTGTACATAAAATTCCCATATTATGTTATGTTTTTTACATGATTGCTTCAAGTGAATCAAGTGCCCATGGTGGTCTGGATTGCACAAAATATCATTTTACCCTAGGAAACAAGAGCAAATTATTAAGAAATATGAATATTTTGCCATGGCAAGTGTCCTTGGACTTGTGAATTCAGTTAATCCAACAGTTAGAGAGACATAGCCATATGGTCCACGTATGTTGTGTTGTGTATATATATATGGTAGCATTATGGTGCAAAATTCCTAATGGTTTCCCATAAGTATATTTTGAATTCATCGCATTCTTGCCTTGTTTGGCTTCAACAATACTTTTAACTCGTCTAATTTGTTTAAGTTGCATAATAATAATTTTGGCCAACCCATGCTGGATGGAAGAGTTCCTTATCACATTGGCTTATGAATGTATACACTATATTTAGCCCAATATTTGTGCATAACACAGTGTGTTACATAGCTTCACAAATTGACAAGTGTTACAATAGCATAGACTCTGAAAGAAGTATTATCCATTTATTCAATGTTACTTTAAGAGGTGTAGCAACCTACATGGCAAAAGTTAATGCAATTTTTGATTAAAAATGGAAAGGGACCTCCGCACAAAGTTTGTACTTCTAAACATCGACATTTGGTTGTATGTGCAGCGCAATTCATGCATTTCTGTTTTATGAACCATAAATTGTTGCCTGATTTCCATTTAAATTGTTCTCTCGACTTTTTGTCAATATGAGGTGACTGTATATGTCTGCATATTCATGGATAATTTCATCAATTCTAAAATCCCTTCTCTGATTGTAAAACTATTATGAAAGATAATTCATATTCCTCTGAATCACTTGAAAACAGCAATCAACCATTCAGTTTTTAAGGTTTGCCTTGGATTCTAGGACTGTGAAATACTTAATAACCCTGCTTGTGAGTTCATTATGTAGTTTTTTTAAATACCAAAATTAGAAAAGGCAAAAAATACAAAAACCCTTCCAAAATTTTGGCTCATTTTTTCATGCACTCTCCTTATTTGATCATTGGCAGCATAGTAAGAGAAGTTGTGGAGGGACCGCCTCAGAATCTTTTAGAGTCATTGGCTCAGCTCATAGCATCTACAACCCTGACCAAATACCCCCAGATATCTGCTGTTCGCATCAAGGTTGGTAAGCCTCATGTTGCTGTTCATGGTACTCTCGATTACTTGGGCGTTGAGATTCTCAGATACCAAAAACAGTGATGTACAACACCGAGCTTTCTATACAGTAGCACTTGCCGAGAATGGAACTTGTTTTGATGAATTGAGAGTAAATGATAGTACTTCTTAGTGGTGTTTTCATGTTTTATACAGTGCTATATCAATGTTAAAGTTTGCAAAGATGTCGGCATAAGAAAAGTTTAACATAATTACATTAGCCTCTCGTTTAGTAAAACTAAAGCGATCGTAATTAATGTAAATGGTGTAAAGACACAGTGATAAATAGGGTAAAATATACATTTCAGTATAAAAAAGGAATAATATTAGGGATCAAGAAAAAAATATCATGAAATGCACCGTGAAGATTTTTTATCCTTTGATTAGTATGGTGTTTTATTATATGTGTAATCCAAAGGTGAATCTTTTATGATCATATTCATGATATTTTTTTCATGATCTCTAGCATTACTGATAAAAGAGATGACAACATTATTTTTTTCATCTATACGACTAACAAATTACTGATGAAAATAAAGTTTAGATGTTATGTGAATCAAAATCTTAAGGAAGTCTAATGTAAGCTATACTATTATATAAAGCAAAGGTTCAAGTTAGTGTCTTGAAGTCTTTGCTTTTATGTATGCTAACCCGTCATCATTTTCTACAAATCTATTCATAATTATGGTTATCAGAATTCTAATCTAGATCGTTGGATCTTACGATTCAATAATCTTTGTTGGGCCAAAGGATCCGGATTGCACTAAGATCTCAAAATGACTATGATTCCAGTCATAGAATAGTGTAGAATCAAACTGTCATTGTGATTCTATTACGATTTCGATCTTACAAAAAAAAATAATAATAATAAAAATTATTGTTCATTTCTTATATATGTATGTCTTGGTTGTTAAAATCATATGATTCACAATTTAATTCATACTATTCGATACAAGTTTCAAAAAAATGATTCGAATCGTGTTGTTAAATCGGTAAGTGAGTGAATTGTACAATTCAATACAATTCACACGATTTACCGTGATTCAATTCTATTTTTATTTTTGTTTACATGTATAAATTAATGTCATTTTTTCCAAACTAAGAAGATATATAGAAAAGATTAATTTGTTATATTGATAGAGATAATTTTATATGTTTATATGTATATATAATTATTAGTAATTTACATTATTTTAAACATTAGATATATTTTTATATGTATATAAATATATAGAATCATATATCATATTAAATAAAATGAATCTTATGATTCACGATTCACTATTTTAACAAAATGATTCATGATTCGATTTGTAATTTGACGACAATGATGTATGTATGTATATGTAAAAAATTAACTATAAACTCTTTTCTCTAAACATCTCCGCTATTTTATGTCAATATAAAAGATGCATTATATCAATTTTTTCATTTTTATCTAATGATTTTAAAATTATTTAACATAAACTATCATTATTGATAATTTCTCATATTATTTTGCATTGACAGTAGAATCCTACGATCCTTAATTCAATTTTACAATTTGATCTATAAGTCTCTCCCACGATCCCAACTTAGGGTCATGATTTTAACAACGTTGCTCATAATCCCATAATTACTAACTACTTGGATTTTGATTTTGAATTTCAAATTTTGATAATTTTTCTCTTTTTTTTTTTTTTGCCCTATATCCCATTGATTTAGGCCTAGTTTGGAAAGACTAAATAAGTGCACTTTTTGACTTTTTTTGTATTATGTGTAGAAAAAGTAGAGAGGAGATGTTGATTGATGTGACCCAAAAAAGATAAAAAGATGAAATAAGTACACTTTTTTGGCAGTAACCAAACTAGGCCTTATTCTTTGCACATCCATCGGGTGTGCACACTGTCTAGATATGTTAAACTTGTAGAGTTCAATATATTTTCTTCAAAGTTTAATGTTAATGCAATTTATTCAATACATGCTTAGTGTCTTAAAGTTTTGAAGCCATTTGGAAGGTGTTGAGGCAGAGCATTAATTTTTAATCGCCATGCAACAATAGTTTCAAAAGGGGTTTTGCTTCTCTCAATATGCTCAACTGAAGAAAATAATTACTGCGGTTTGCAATTATATGCCAGGAAAAATACATGGGAATATGAACTCAGAAATTAAGGTTAGGTTTGGCATAACATATATAATACATCTTTTTATCTTTTTTCATCATATCACCTCTACTTTTCTGTACACTTTTTTGTAAAAAGACAAAAAGTACATTTTTTTAGGACACCTCAAACCGAATCCGGATCCTCGGTGTCCCTTTCCTGCACAACCCTGTAGCCCCCCAAAACGACGTCGTTTTGGGGGGTTTTTTGTTTTTTGTTTTTTTTCTTTTCTTCTTCTTCTTCTTGCCAAATTTAGAGAGAGAAAGCAGAGAGAGAGAGTGACAGAAATGGCGGAGGTCAATAGACCAAAAACGAAAGCCCAATCTTCAATATCATCTCATCATCATCTCAACAACCTCATCTCATCATCTTCAATATCTGTTTCTTGATTTCTACTTCTTCTTTCAGACCAAAAACGAAAGCCCCATCTCAACAACCTCCATAGAAGGGGAAAAATGAGGTCCATTCACATAGGGAGATCACTATTCCAATTTCCACCTCTATCCATAGCTCAATCAATTTTCTGGCTTTTTTATTTTTCTTTTTCAACCCTTTATTTTTTCTTTTTGAATCCCAAATGCAAACAAACCTCTTTACATTTTCCTCTCTCAATCGACTCTCTCTTTCTCTCTCTCTCTCTCTCTCTCTCTCTCTTCTATAAACCACTGGAGCCTTTCTTTTTTTTTCTTCATATTTTTTTTGTATTTTTTAGGATCCTAACTTCACAAAAATCACAACTTTAGGACAAACCCAGTTTGGCTTGCTCTCTCTCTCTCTCCTCTGTAAACCACTAAAGCCTGAATTTTTTATTTTTTATTTTTTTGTCCATTTGCAGGATCTTAACTTTACCAAAATCACAACTTTAGAACAAACCCAGTTCGTGTTAGTCATTTTTGGTACTAGGGTTTAAGAGTTTTCGAATCTTTTGATTGCAAAGCAGAAACGAAGTAATAAGAGTAGGCACCTCTCCCTCAACAACACTGCTCTTCAACAACCCAAAACCCACCAAGGTCCATTCATTTCTCTACCCTCTTCAATCACATCCTCTGTTAACCCACTTCTCTTTCTTATTTTTCTTAATCTTTTTTTGTTTTTGGGTTTTGGGCAGGTTTGTTCAAGGATATGAAGGTGTATGTGTACGATTTACCATCGAAATACAACAGCCTCTTTGCCTCTGAGGTGGCCATACACAGAGCTCTAGTGAACAGCGATGTACGGACGCTCGACCCATGGGAAGCTGACTTCTTCTTCGGCCCCGTCTACGTTTCCTGCAACTTCAGCACCATTAATGGCTTCCCGGTGATCGGTCACGCAAGGTCTCTGATTTCATCGGTGGTCCAGCTCATTTTCTCTGAGCTGCCCCTTCTTCTCCCCTCTTCTTCCCCCGAAGAGAGAGAGAGAAAGAAAGAAAGAAAGAAGAGAAAAAAACAAAAAATCCCCCAAAACGACGTCGTTTTGGGGGGCTACAGTGTTGTGCGACAGAAAAAGGGCACCGAGGATCCGGATTCACCCCAAACCAACCCCTTGGAAGATTGAATTTTAATTAAAATATCAAAAAGTAATTAAAAAAACTAAAAAATCATATTGAAAAGGTCAAAAGATTTCTTTCATTCTTTATACTTTTTACATATTTTCTTGTAAAAAATTAAAAAATTATTTTCAAACACTTTAATTATTTTCATCTTATATTTTAATCAAAAAAAAAAAATTTAAAAAATCACTACGAATACCCACTTAAGCCACTTATTATTCTAGCTAGCTTCATGCAAAACCTCTTTTTAAAATGGCCAGTTCCAAAAAGTTTATACATTCTCAGGAGATATAGTGGCCTTGTTTGGTGTAATTTCTCATAAATTAATAATTAATAATTCAAACGCAAAAGTTAAAAATATATCCTTTTTAAGTTCGCAATAATTAGTTTTTTCCAATTAATTTTTAAGTCATTTTTTTGCCTCAAATGCACTCCCTATAGTGCAACCTGTAGTGTTTTGAATGACAACAAGCAACATCCGAAAAAAAAAAGACCAAGGGTAGAGTGAAGACATCAAAACAGCGTCATTTTTAGCTTTGCTCCTTTATTTTAAAACACTACAATTTGCACAAAGGATCCAAGCCCTCTATATATATATAATATAAAATACATGAGAGTACACTCCAGGTGGAAAATGAAACTCAATGAAGACATCTAACATGGCAATGGCTTCAATGGAATTGTACAATGAAGCATCTTCAAACACATGCAACAACCATTAGCCAAAAGGTTCCTTCTCTTTTGCATCTTCCACACTACAAGACTTTCTACCACAATGTGACTGAATTTCCAACTTTGTCATGGATTTAAAATAACAATGTCAAAGGTAATTATTCAAAATTCTTCATGCTAAGTATTCTAGTTTTTCAAAATCCAAATAAAATACATCTCTTCAATCTCTAATATATCCTTACCCTTCGCTTTCTGAATCCACCCATAACAGCTCAATCTCTCGTATTTTTATAAAATTCAACCTCAAATCCCTTCATTTGAAATCCATCCATCCAAGCAAAAACTAAGTCACACAGCCATACCATCTGATGCACGACTATTCGCTTTGCCTTTGCGGTTCCAAATTGGAGTAGTCTCAATAAGCTTATGGGGAACAAGCCGGCTTTCCTTCTTAGTGAGCTTCAAGAAATTGCTGACTTTGAGCTTCGCGATCTTAGCCTCCTCTTCAGCGGTTATTTCCCTAACTACCACTGTCAGTCTACACTCCGGTCTCACTTTTATCCCGCATTTTCCTCTAGCATGGTAAGAGACTCTCTTTTTAAAGTAACCTTTCCCAACAAATGCCTCGGCTGCAAGAAATGAGAAAATGTACAATAAAATAGCCTATCATAAAGTAAAAGCAAGAAAAAAGTTCATTTCTTGTAATTACCAACAAGGAGACGATCTGAATCTAACCCATGATTGTGGGTTGCATTTGCCCTCGCCGAGTGTATAACCTGCACCACAGATATATTGAGCATTTCTATTCCAGACCAAAAATTAGACCCAATTTTCAAGCCCAGTGATGTGGCAATCAATTAAGATATTAAAGGTAACACTCTCTCTCATATCTTCTCTAATCTTCAACCAATCATATCACTTACATATCATTAAGTCTATAAAATGGGTCTAAAAAGTAAGCTTGCATATCATTTTCCATATTTTTATTATGTTGAAAACGCAAGAATTTGTTTTCCCCAGAATATTCTGAATCACCTTAAAGAACCAGAAAAACAGACACTTTCTTTTGTACATTCAATGGGGACACAACTTTTTGAATATGACATAAATTGATAACCAGAGCCAGCCTAATTTCAGTACCAAAAATGCTGAATGATCATCAAATACGTAACACCAATTCTACAAATATAGCTCTTGGTACAAATTACAATCCTCGAGGAACAAAACATTCCATATCAACTTTTAAGAAAAAGTGTCATTTTCTATCCCCTTTGCCCAAGAATTTAATTTTTTTTCCCTTTTTTCAAATTAAAACTATCATATAACATGCTAATAATGACATACATGAGGTGTTAACAGTTTGCATCACCTGATATACAGTTTTTGCAGCACGTTTTACCGTCACTTGCAACTGCAACAGTGCATCTTCCACACGCATGCCACGAACTAATGCAGCAACCAAGTTCACCTTCTTAGGACTCTTGAGAATAGCGAGGTGTTAAAACAAAGTCAAACAAAATCATAGTTAGGCACATAAGGAATCAAGTTCACTTTGTGACACAAACATCCAGTTTACCACATTTCTTTTTCATTTTTTAAGTATGGCAAATGATCAAATACAAAACTTTTAACGGCTTTGATCAACAAAAACTTTTGACGGCTAATAGCTTAACAGTTCAACACAGGCGTAAGAACATCAGACATAACTTCCAGTTACTCGGAATAGCTTCAGTCAGAACAACAATTAAAGATTACATGGTGTTTGGACAATACATGTAAATGAAATTGCTGAATTTAAATTTCATAACAAGTGAACATGAAGAGAAGTTGTAAAATACTCATTATTAAAAGAATATTGAAGAACTATGTCACCTATGAGACCTCTAGATGTACCACAATATGATTTGGCATACATGCAGATGAAATTTGTTAATTCTTCCAGCCTACAAAGTGGTGTGATGCATCAACACCTCTTGAAAATTTAAATCATGTTAATAATAATATGTAATCTAAAATTTGGTATCAGATTGATCCAAGGCTAACTTAGCTGAACATCCTGACAACATTACAAATTTTCTGCAAAGCTACTGCAATTATCTATTTGAAGAGAGTTGAATGTTGCAAAATTTTAATAACTTCTAATGTTGGCAAATTGGTGGCATATTCATTTAGAGGGTTGAGAGCTTGATGAAACACCCCGCCACTTCACGTTATATTTTTTATGCACCTCACTTGAGAGCCCCTTTAACATGTGAACCGGACTGAAAGACCTGCCAGTTCTGGCAACACTGCCTACAACGGTGTTACTGTAGGAAGTTATTAAAGATGAAAGTAGACCCCAGATAAAAAGGAAGGAGAGAAACTGGTTTAAATGGAACAATATTAACTTTTTACACATGATCTATGACAAAATTAATTTCCATTATGTGTTCAATGCCCCATATACATATTCCCTAAATTAGATTTCCAAGAGACGTCAGCAGATCATCAATGAAAGATGTAAAAAATAAAGTAGCATATACCTGTTTTATATCTTTTAAAACTGCTTGAACTTTTGAAGGTTTAGAGACTTTTGTCTGGTCTTCAGTTTTTCCACTTTCAATTGCCAAAACAGGTGTCAATGGAGATGGAATAGGTGCTGCATCAGATGCATCAGCGAGTAACCTCCTTGAACTGGAAAATTTCTGGAATAATAAAAGACAGAACAATTTTCTAACAGTCAGCCAAGAAATTAGAAAAATACAATTTAAGGAGGTGGTGTCCCTTTGGACGGTCAACTCATAAAAAATTGATTTCCACTCAAATAAAAGCCAATAAGTTGAAAGTGATAAAATAAAAACTTGTTCAAATCTAGCAGAGTAATAACAGGACATTTAGCATTACCAACTGTTGTAAATAATGATACAATGTTCTTGAGTTGTTTAGAGAAGGTGAAGTCCGCAGGCTCCGTAAATAAGGCAACTCGCCTGCAAATATGTTCAATGTTAATTAACCAATTTTATAGCTAACTACCACGTTGAGATGCATGAAAACAAAGATATACTACCCAAGATGCATACTTGTAAATTTCAAAGCAATGTTAGAATGTTGGTTGTTGACCTAAGAAGCATAACACTTCTAAAAAGATGGCGTGTTCGTGTTAGACACTGACACTCATCAGACACTTCCCGACACGTGTCTGAAACTCATCCAAAGATGTCTTATTTTTTTTATAAAAAAATTGGACTCCGACATTCTTTTGACACTTGGATGACACGTGTCCATTGATTAGACACACATGAAAGTTGAAACTAATTACAAGTTTTAACAAAATAACTTAGAATATGATGATAAAAGAACAACAACGTCAATTTATAGAAATTAGTGTTATATTGTATTTATTTATTATCTTGGAATGATATATTCATATATATGACATATAATAAACATATAAAATTATATATTCTGTGTGTCCCCTCCCAAACACACATTAATATGTATCTAAGAAGCACGGACAAGGACACAACATGGATACGACACGGACACGCCAACACATTTATTTTCAAAAAATGCAGGACATGACACGTGAGAGACACACATGAAATATATAATTTTATATGTTTATTATATGTTATATATATGAATATATCATTCAAAGAATGCAACATGATAGTAATTCTTATAAATTTATATGGTTTTTGTTTTATTATTGTATCTTACGTTATTTTGTTTGAACTTATAATTAGTTTCACATGTATCTAATTGATAGACACGTGTGTTTAAACGATTGACACGTGTATCCTCCAAATGTTCAAATAATGCCCAGGTCTTTAAAAAAAATTAAAAAATAGGACACGTTTTGAAGAGTGTCGAACACGTGTCCAAAGAGTATCGGTATCCGACACGGTCACGGACACGGACGCGACACAAATACGTCACCTTTTTAGAAATATCCGTGCGTATTAGATGGGTACTAATTGGGCTTTTTTATATATAATTATGTGTCTCCCATGAATCGTGTCTAGCATTTTTTGAAAATTGTCGTATCCATCTCATGTCATGTGTCCATGTCCATGCTTCTCAGTTGTTGACCAAAAAAGAGGAGAATGATTTCTTGTTATTTTACTCCAAGTAAGACATCAGCTATACACTGTCCTTCTACCAATCAAGTAAATCTTCAGTTTCATATCTTAGCAGTACCATATCATCCAGTACAAGAATATTCTGCAACATACTTTCACTAACAAATTTAGATTGAAATACCAGGTACTAGAGAGCCCCTTGAGTGATGACAAGAGAAGTTGGCAGAAGCAATGTAATTATGCTCCAATCTTTTCCCAACCTGACGGAGTACGTACTGCAAATGTCTCTGCCAGCCCGCCATGACTTAAGTTGAAAAGTTCACTTCACAAAGGATCTCCAGCTGGATAGTAACAAATCAACTACAGAAGAGAACAACGACAATCATTTAGATTTTATTTAAAAATAAAAAACTATATAGGGAAATCACCAGATCGTACAATGGCTGAAGATGTGCAAAAGAAGCTAACAGTAAAAGCACGCAAGCAATGAGGCCATGTAATTCAGAGCAACTTATATGCAAGGAATAAATTATAAACTAAGAAACACAGGCATGGACATGGACATGGACATGGACATGGACATGGATACGGGTACGTGCACGAGACTTGAAAATTTTCAAAAAATGAGGACATGAACACAGTGAAGAGCAGGGATATGGCACAAAATATATATATATTTATATATTTGTATTTGTTATGTGTATCAATATAACATCCACGAACAACTGAAAATAATGAAAAACTAACACCAATTCAATATGAGAAAACCACTCAATTTATAATTTAAACATCATTCGCGTACAAAATATTACTTCATCAATCATAAGCTATTACATTTGAAATGTCAAAAGCATTTAAACAAGCATTTCCAAATAGGAAAACCCAATTAGACAAGCATTCCCAGCCTAGTAGGCATTTTTGCAGGCAATTAAACAAGCATTTTAATGATTCTAAATTAGAATGGCAACTCTGCAAAGAAGTGAAGTTGATTCTCTTTCTGTGATCTCTTTTAAATATCACTCTCCTACTCAACAGTTGTCTTTAACTGCTACAGTAAATTTTGCTCGCATTACCTTTGTTAACAACTTTGTGTTGCATTGGGTTGGTTCTATCTTTTGATGAATATATATATTTTTTCTTTTTTTTTTGTTCTTTCTTTTTATTATGTATTTGATATTTCTCATTTTCATTTTCCATACTCTTATAGCTTGAGAGTTCTCTTAGACTTGAATGTCACAATAGTTTTGAAATATTCATGATAGATTTTTTTACAAACCAACCCAAAATAAGTCTCGTGTCGCAACTTGACCTGACTGACCCAATATTTGCCTTCAATATTTATTGATCAAAACTGAGACAGTTTTCCTCATTATTTTGAAATTTGAGGCCTACTTAAAAAAACACAAACACCCATAAATCAAAACTACAACCCACGAAAAACAAAAACAAAAACAAAAAACCCAATTACAAACCCCAGAAACGTAGAAACCACATATAATAATCACAGAAACATAAAACAACAAACACACATATATGCATATATATATATATATATATATGTGTGTGTGTGTGATAAACCTCAAAGGGCGAATTTATGAAATGCGGGTTCAATCTTAACCGAGAACAAAAAACCCACAAGAAGAAGCGTAGATACATACAAGAAAAATAGCTGGAAATACAGACATACATAGACCGATACACGCAGATTGAGAAAGAACAGAGAACATAGAACAGAGAGAGAGAGAGTGAGTAGCTGAGAACTGAGAAACCGAACCTGAGACGTCCAATCTCCGGCGAGAGAACAAGGTGAGCGCTGCCGCAGCTGCCTGAGAAGTGAGATCCTTCGACGCCGCCGTGAAAGAAAGAGAGAGAGAGAGAGAGAGATGGGTATAAGGGTCACCAAATCGGGTTTATCATTTTGTGAGAAAACAATTCACATCTCGACAGTGGTGTTCGGGAAGTCTGTGGTTTGGGTTTTTTTTTTATTTTTTTCGTTAAAAGATAAATTTTTTGTAAAATTAAAAAAAAGTAAAATCAAATAAAATATTACATTTAATTTCATAATTATTTCACTTTTTCTCTTACAAACATCACATCCAACCATAAAAAAATTCAACTATCTTTCCAAACATTAAATTTTTTTTCTCCAATAATATTTTACAACTAAAAAAACCTACATAAAAACTCAATTTCTAAACACCCACACAATTTGACAAGTCCTAATTTAAGTAATTATATATTTGAATTAAATTTATATTATAAGAATTATATAATTATTTTTAAAATTATATTTATTATCTCTTTTTGAAATAAATGTAATTTTATTTTATTGCTATCGATATTATTTTTTATATAAATATTTTACTTAATAAATTTAAAAAAACAAACGATTGAAATCATCGAAATTAGTTTTAGAAATGAGTGTACCAAGCTCAAAAGGCTCTCTCAAATAATATAAATCAATTAAATTTTGGATATTTGACCAGATCGTTTTTTAAATAAAAGTAATAATTCAAATTAAAGCGTAATTAAAAATTACATTTTCTTATAAACGTACAAAGATTTGGCTTTTCTCATATTTAAATCAATATAAAAGTCATATTTACAAATGTTATGATAGCACAAGTCCTGTCTAAGATTTTTTGAATCAATAAGTCTTATTTAATAAAACTGAGAATATTATCAGTTTTTTTTCCATTTTTAAAAGTAAAAATATTATCAATTTTACAAAATAATGTTCCAGAAAATTATTTCATTACCTAAATAAAAAAACCGAGCATGAGATTAAACATTTTTGTCTTTCTACTTATTGGTTTGATTCAACTATCCAATAAAATCGAGAACATTATCAGTTTTTCATTTTTAAATTTTTTTTTTCAATTTTGCATATCAATATTCCATCATCATACTCCTTTATAGACACAAATTTTTCATTTTTGCACAAAAAAATAATTCAATTTATCAAATCATCATTTTCCTTTATAGATAATTATAAATGATGAACAATCATTGTTTGAAAGGCAATTCTGATTATTAAAACTTTAATGGGTTTTGAAAGTCCAAAAAATCTTAAGTAGGACTTAGTGAAGTATAAGTTCATAAATTATGACCGTGTGTAAATGCCCACAAATTTAAATTTAAAAGAATTTGAGAGACACGTAAAGTCTATCATGAGCCTTGTTTTAATAATCCGCATCGTTCATTTTGTATAACTTTCATTATATATCATTCATTAGAAAAAATTAAATCGATCAGATAATCATAATATTTTATTTTATTGTGTTTGTTTTTTTAAAAAACAATGGACAATAGATATACTTTTAAATTTATCATTTATTTTTTTAGAATCAAATGCGATAAAATAAAAATATTATAATGATCAAATAAATCTATTTTTTTCATAAATAATATACACATAAAATAAATGATTTAGATTATCAAAATGAAACTTGAGATGTTCCATCAATCGTCAAGTTTTCTAAGTTTTATATTTATTAAACTTTAAATAAATCCAGCCCAAATTACAAATACACTCCCTGGCATTTATTAAAAATACAAATTCTCTTTTGAGAAATTACATCTCAATAAATAGAGGTCATTTTAGATCAAATTTTGACATCAAAGGCATATAAAACTTGTCTCCTAAACCAATTCACTATAATCATTGCATTCTCTGAACTCCTCCAATTTTCACCACCTTCACACACTGACCAAAACACCTAGCACATGCTTAACTCGTCAACAAAACAAAAAGAGCAATACCACCATCCCAATTTTGAGATATGATAAACACATCAAATATTTACCGGGTTATATAAGTATAATTCAAATAACAGTTCTACAATTCTACGCTATATCAGTATAGTTACTAAGGGCGAAGTTTCCTTGTTAACCATTTTTTTCGCAGAGTTTCATCCAAAGCTAAAAACATCCTTGCTCTTCTCTCATCCTCCAGAAAGTCGCAAGCATCCAGCAAGAGGTCCTCATCAATGTCCGGTATGGCCTGGAGAGCATCAATAACATTTTTTGTCGATATACAGTTCCCATTCTTCTTCTTCTTCTTTGTTAATGTCGTAACAGCCACCGCCATCTCTTGCATAGCATCTTCCATACCCACATCGTTAATTTTTTGTGCTTTTTTAGACGGTTGAAAAGTTGGTTGCACCTCAAGTTGACGTTTTTTCTGTTGACCGTTCAAATTTGTGTCACTTCCCCAATCCAATGTTTCTTTGCATCCCTCAAGCATAGCAATTCCACCACTAGTAGTAGGAGCTCTATTCTCGTAACTTGAGTTCCGAGGAGCACTATCATTTCTTGGATTAGTAGATTCATTCCCATAGATGAGACACATATCAATATAAAATGGCACGGTTTTATTTCTGTACCTCGGAAAGTTGCGACTTGCCTGCATTTCAAACTTGTAAGCGACTTGCCACAGTTGTCTTTAAAATATATATATATATATATAAACATATAAAAAAACTTGAAAACTGAGAGCTAACAATCATAAGGTAAAAACTAAAAGCACCATTCCCCCCAACTTCTCAATAAGCAGCTTATTTGAACTATTTCTCAAAGAAATTCCCAAAGAAAATGAAGCTATAAGCATGCCCATAAGTTGTACCAAAACAATACCAAAAAACTCTTTGTACCTTAATAACCTTATTCCAAACATGATCATCGGCTATCAGCATTTGTCGTGTTTCGTCCCAGCTAAACCCGTTCTGACCAAGAAGAAACTTTATGGCATTGCACTGCCTTCTCAAAATATTGCAACGGTTTTTCAAGATTACTTTACCGTGTTGGTACCCAAATTTTGTATTGAACTGAGAAATCATGTGACTCCATGCTTTATTCTTGAAAGTACGGCCAATCTTATTCCCTTTATGCACCTGCTCCAGCATAAGTTGAACAAAATACTCGTCCATTTTCTGTGACCAGTCAATTTTAATACGATCATCTTTTGCAGGAGGCTGATCATCCAATACTTTTGCTACAAGTAATACAGAAGTAATTAGAAATTGCATAAACAAATCATCCAATAATTTGGCTTTTTTAATAATCTAAAAAAATTATGCATTTGGGAAGTTGCTAAATAAGCCAAAAATCCAAAAGTCTGATCTGTTATCAGCTAAAAAAGCTAAAAAGGCACTCAACTTTTTCACTCAAAAAGCAACTTTTTTAGCAACTTCCCAAACGCATAAACTTTTTTAGATTCTGAAAAAGCCAATGCCAACGAATCACCAATTCTATCTTGACGTACCTTCATTTTCATAGTCTACATCGAAACACGAAAGACTATATCTTCCATCGGCAACTGCATGCCCACATATCATGCACAACTCGTTGTAAAATGGTACAACTTTGGTTCTGTACGAATGCATGTCAGGATGGTCCTGCACATGAAGCGTGTACGCAACTTGTAAATTGAACTCTCGTGTGATGTTTTAGAATATTTAATATAAAATTTGTACCTTGATGTATTCATCCCATACATGATTATCAGCAGTTACCATCTGCTGCTTTTCATCCCACCTAAATCCATTCTGGACAAGGATCTTTATGTTATTGTATTGTTTCCTCAACCATTTGTATCGGTTTTTTAGAACGCCTGTCTCGTGCCTGAATCCAAATTGTTCATTAAAGAGTGCAATCATCTCTGTCCACGCTCCTTTGCTAAATATATTACCAGTCTTATTCCCTCTGCGCACTTGATCGATTAAAAGTTCAATAAAATAATTGTCCATAGGTGGCGTCCAATTAGTCCTCAAATTTTCATTGCTACTAGAGCAATCCTCACCCATTTCTGTTCCCTGCAGTTGAGATGCATGGTTAGTAAGAATATATTTGTGAAACACCAAATGCCTTGAGATATACACATGCCACGGTTAGAGTTTGAATACATAACAATATCATGAAAACATGAATGTTCAGTCCACGATGTAACATTTCCTACTCATTTCAATCGATTCTTTTGATTGATGAAGTATTTTAGCCAACACAAAAGGGAAGAAAATAAATGCATTTTAAATGAAGGAAAAAACTGCATTATATAAATTCCGTTTGTCCAAATATCATAATTAAATACTGTATTTACTTAGGACAAAGATTGTGTGATGTAGGACACCAAGACAGAGAACAATAATAATGATAAAGAAAAGCACAAACCAAAAGAATAAACTAAACCCTAATTTTCAAAATTAAAAATGCTCAACTCAATTCATATCAAAGCTAAATAAACCAAACACGTAATGGTGTATTTATAGGCATCCAAAAAAACCCTCGTTAAGAGTTTCCAAAATAAAAACTACCTCCAAATAATTAGATCCTACCTAATAATTAAAACATTTCGAATAATTTAATCCTAACTAATATTCTATTATTGATATAATTCCTAAAATCTAAATTTCCAAATGTGCTCGATTTCTTTCTCATTCGACACCTTTTCTGTCCGCATCATTGTGACTGGACATGGTGGCAAGTGCTATCTAAAACCCCACTATACGCTGTAACATGGGTTCGAGTCACAGGAATAAGGCTCTCAAAACGAAAAGAAGAAAAAGAAATAATCAAGCAACTGTGAAGTTAAAACTACAAGCAATCCGCCATCAATAGCACTCTCCACAGACATCTTCTCTCTCAATATCTGCCATTTTCCTGGAAAGCCACCTCACCATCTCCAACTTTCCACAAATATATAAGCAATCCATATAAAACTGATTCAAGAAATTGCAAAGTTAAAATTATAATGAAGTCTTCAAATATATATATGTATATATTAACATGCAATAACAAACCATGAACTAACATGCTCTAATCTAAATCAAGTGATGAGGAAATAACTTAAATTTTCGGTTTAGCAACCCTACGGCGAGTTATTATTGTTATGCAACTAGTCAGCTGCATTTGATTCGGACAAGACCTTCTTACAAAAGCAGATTCTTCACATGTTTCAAGGAAAACGGAAAAGGTTGTTTCAATTCCTGGCATAAACTTCAGGAAAAAACAAGTGAAACTACTCAAATTTTAAAAATTTAGTTTTACCAGAATATAACCACAAATTCAGCAGTTCAATAAACATCCACAAGTTAAATAATGCTGGAAATTTGTGTTAATGTATATAATAAGATAGTGGCATGTATATAATATGATAGTGGTGTATAGTGGTAATATATAATATGTAAGTGGCATATAATGGGTTATAATGATGTTTGTAATATCTCCTATATAAGTAGTGTCATTTGGTCTTGTAAGATAAGAAGTTTTGAATATAACAGAAATATATTCCTTCTTCCTCATATCTTCTAAGCACTTCTTCCTCATATTTTCGGAGTTCTTCTTCCTCATATTTTCTAAGTAATAATTTGTTCAAAAACTTCTTTATAATAAATTGGGTGGTGTTTGGAAGCTTAAAACTGCATTTGTGTCTGATGTTGACTGGGGTGAGTGGTGGCAATATGCATTGGCACATATTTCAGATAGTTTTAAGTTCTTACAATAACATTTCTGCAAATAAAGCACGGTTGGACTAGTTTTGTGTCTGAGCTATTATATTAACATCATGTAATCAAATTCAAGTGTACATATCACAACATTAGTGTTCTATAATTAATCATGAATTCCAGAAATCCTGATATCACATTCTAATGAAAATTCTTGACATATACATAATACATATATGATACCAAACCATGAACTACGCTCTAATAGTCCGTTCGGTAAATTAGGCAAGAAAATAAATGACAGACACTTTTTTTGGCAAGTAAACTGATAAGATTATACTATACAATAATTTTTGTTTCTCACCAAATATCACCAATGTTGGTACATAAAAATAAAAGAAAACAACAACAAAACTTAGTTTTTAAGATACTTATCTTTTCTCTCCCTTTCTCACCATGTCTCACCTTCTCAATCATTCAAACAAGTGATATGGGAGTTTTTTTTCTCTCCATTTCTTTTCTTTTCTCACCAAACCCCTTAATCCAAACAGAACTAGTAATCCTTTTTAAAAAATCCAGATTCATCCCATAATTCATGAAACCAACCCAAAAAAAAAACAATAAATTTACAGTTTTAAATTCTAAACACAAACCAGGTCAAGTGGGTATTCAATTAATTAGAGCACAATTCAAGAAAATTCAATCAAATTCTTTGAGCTCCATAGATAATAATCCATACTTCACAAGTTTGATAAAATTTGGGAACTCTCTTTGATTACCTTGATCACAATTTTCCTGGGGTAAAATTTTCCGGGAAGACAAACAGAGAATTGGGATATCATACAAGTAATCGAACATAAAACCTTGTTTGGGAATTGAAAGAATATCACTAAACTAAACCCTAACATGAAATATAGAGAGAAACAAACAGCGGAGAGGAATAAGAGAAAATTACCTCTCGCTAAATATAGTGTGTAGAGTCCGGCTGGGAAAGGGAGAAGGAGATGCTTATCCAGGGATAATAAAGTGAAATGCCTTGTTTGGTTGGAATGGGACTGGCTCTTTGGGGGTAGTTTTTAATTGCCTTTTTGACGTTTTTGGTTTTTTTTTTAGCAATGAAATACTTTTGTTTGCATAGATTTTATAAGGGAATATTGCAATGCAATAATTACTGGGATAAATTGTTTTTGGACTATTTTGTTAAAAATATTATCTCCATGTTAAAATAATAATCTTTTTTGAGGAAAATAACTTTTTTTGATAGTATGATTATTATATTTTAAAAAAATTAATTTTTTTAAAATTACCCTTTGATAACATATTTTTTTTGGAGAATATCAATTGTCATAATTATACTTTTTGTGTTGTTAATGAATTTAAAAGAAGAGAAAAATAAGATATTCATATTATTTTAATTCTTGATTTTTGTAAAATGACTAATATTTTGAGATAATAAAAAATAAAATAAGAAACTAATATTTTGAAAGAGAATGAATATTTTGAGATAATAAAAAATAAAATAAGAAACTAATATTTTGAAAGAGAATGAATAATGTATATTTTATTATTTAACTTTTACTTTTCTAATTATTAGAGTTCAATCTCACGTCCTAATCCAATCTCATGAAACAAACGGCCTTAGTATATTTGGAATTATTATTTTTAATTGAATTGATAATTGTAGGCATATGATATTTTGATTTTTTTTACTTTTTTAACTAAATTGATTGACAAATGGGAATAAAATTCATGGACTTGCTGTGATCCACATTTAAAACAAAAATGTTAGAGATACAAAAAAATTCTACCAAATATCACACACATAGTTATGGGATCCATATAGGACTCACATGATATGAATCCCATACCCATGTGAGATATTTAGTAGAAATTTCAGTAGAATTTTTTGAATCTCTAGTATTACTCTATTTATAAATAAGTGATGTTTCAATTTTTAATAATAAATTTATTATTATAAAAATATTTTTAAAAATATAACTCAACTACTATAAAAATATAGGCCTTATTTGGTTTAACTTTCAAACACAATTTTTGAAAAAAATTTAAAAATTTTGTTTGGCTGAAATTTTTTTGAATTTTTTTTTTCAAAATCACGTTCTCTCTCCTGCACATCAATTAATCACTTTTCTCTCGCACGCATCTACTCAACTACAACAATATATCAAATTATCTCAAATTCCCATACTCCAAAACTATTTCCAAAATATACAACCAAACAAACCAAAAAAAATTCTAATCTCTTTTCTCAATTTTTTTTTTGAAAATTTATCTCCTAAAACCAAACCAACCACACCCATAACTTCTTAAATCATACTTCAATATAAATTAACACAAATAAATCAATAAAAAAATCAAAACTCACAAATAAAAGTTATTTATCAGTTTAATAAATTTTTCAGGATTATTATCACACTACTAAATAATTATGGAAGATTTACGTGCAGGTTCTAATAAATGAATTTACTATCCAATAGGTATTGTAATAATTAATGACATTTTTCATCAAATATTATTAAAAAAATGTCATTAATTGTTAATTTTCGGCGATAATTTGAAAAAAAATTCATGAAAAATGTCAGTAATTATAAATTTTAGTGATAGTTTAAAAATCGTCACAAAAAAAAAGTCACTAATTTTTAAATTTCAACAATAGTTTGGAAATTTTATCACAAAAAAAGTTACTAATTGTAAATTTTAGTGACAATTTATAAAAATCGTGACAATAAAAGTCATTAATTGTCAATTTTTAGCTATATATGCACAAAATCATCGCAAAAAATTATTTTTAACGATAATTTTATTAGAATTTATTTTCAATAGAACTCAATGAAAACCAACTATTATGACCCATTAATAATTTATCTAATAATGATTCCACAAACACAAAAATACATCTACAAAGTCTTTAAAAATATTTATGAATAATTTTTTTTTTCTTTATAAAAAAAACCCATAATTCGACTTATATAACAAATTAAACTCTGTAATTTCAGTTTCATACGTGGAGGTTGATGCGTTCCATACGCGCATCATGGTTAAGAAGTATACATGCACACTGTATCTACATATATATATGTAAATATATGTTGGAGAAGAAGAGTATTTGACAAAACTACTTTTCTCCCCGTCGGTTTAGTCAATAAAAAATAAACGGGAGTTTTAATTAGAATCAATTTAAGAGGTCATGGTTCAAATTGATAAAATTAAAAGGGACATTTATATATAAATATTAATTTATCAATATATATTCTATTGAGTTTCTTTAGACTTATTTATTTTAATAATTTATTTAATTATATTTTAATTTATTTAAAAAAGAAAAATAAAATTCAAAATTTATTTTGATGATTTATTTAATTATATTTTAATTTATTTGAAAAAGAAAAATAGAATCGAAATTTATTTTGTCCCATTATTTCTCACCTAAACCTTTATCTAAATGTTGTTAGAATGTATTAGGAGTTCGAACAGCCCAAAATAAAGATTCAAACAGCCCAGCATAGTAGCAGACCAAAATGTTCAAATGGAAGATATTCAAATTTGTAATGATGGAGTGAAAGATATTCAAATTAGTAATGATGGAAGTACAACGGTGGATGTAGGCTTGGTTGAAGCCGAACCACTATAAATCTATTTGTTTTGTCTTCCCTAATCTCTTTACTTTCCTACTACTGCTATATCTATCTAATATTCATGTACTAATCATTTGATTTACCATGTATGTTAGCTATACTTCATTGTTATTTTGCTTGATCATTTAGTGTTAAGTTCATCATTGTGCCTGTTAATAATTTATTGTACTAGTAGTTAATTTTATTGGGATATTATTATTTTAATTTGTAAAAACCTAATTCACCCCCTCTTAGGTTGCTTTTTGGGTAACAAGTCTTAAGTAAAAAAATTTAAATTTTCAAATCCCATTAAATTTTTAATAGTCAAAATTACATTTCAAGCAAGGATCATTCATAATTTAGAATTATCTATAAAGGAACATGATGAATTGATATTTATTTTGATTTTCAAAACTTTAAAACACACCTTTTAAATTGAAAAAACTTTTTAAAAAAAATTATGCGCAAAAGAAAAAAAAAACTAACAGTGTGTTTGGTTTGAGTTTTGGATTAAGTTTTTTGAAAATTAAATTTTTTGGTTTTCGTATTTTTTTGTTTTTAGTGAATATTTTTAAAATTTCAAACATTTTTTTATATTTTTTTAGATGCACCTTATTTAGATATATCTAAAAAGTAAAAAATTTGTGAACAAATATTTTAAAAAATTAATAAATACATAAAAATATAAAAAATGTACTGAATTATCGTATTTTTTATATTTTTGGTATTTAGTGAATTTTTAAAAAGTTTTTTTTACAAATATTTTACTTTTTAGGTATATTTATATTAGATACGTCTGAAAAGTAAAAAAAAAAATTGCTTAAAATATTAAAAAAAATCTAGTAAAAACAAAAAAACACGAAAAACAAATAAAGTAGAACTTTCTGAAAAGTATTTTTAGAAAAATAGAACCAAGCAAAGAGGATCTCATATTTTTTTATAAAAAAAATTGAAAAAACTGAATTATTTTTTTTGTAAAACTAAAAATTTTGTCTATAAAGGAGTATGATGAGGAAACAATGATCTGCAAAACTAAATAATAAAAAAAAATTGATAATATTCTTAGTTTTAACACTGAAAAAAAACTGATAATGCTATCGATTTTATTGGATAATTAAATTAAACCAATAAGTAAAATGATAAAAACATTTAATTTCATGCTTCGTTTTTTTCATCAGTTATTGAAACATTACTGTGCAAAATTGATAATATTCTTAACTTTAAAAAAAAAAAAAAAACTTATATTATTCTCAATTTTACTAAATAAGACTTATTGGTTCAAAAAATCTTAAATAGAACTTGAGCTATCATAACATTTATAAATAAGACTTTTACGTAATTAACTCAAATTTAAATTATAGGATTTAATTTGTTACATTAATCAAATTTTATAATTTTTTAAAATAATTTTTCCAATTTTTTTTTTTATCAAAATGAGAGTCAATTACACATTTTTTTTTTATAAAAACGGTGGTGCTACATACATTAATTAATGTACACATTAGCGTACCAATTGGTATTATGTCATTATTACTGACCCCACCTATTATACAAATTACAAATACCCAAACCTCTAAGATATCATCTGTTAGTATATTAGTTAAGAATAATGTTTGGTGGCCCGAAAAATTCTGCCCCGAATGGCTGAAACGACGTCGTTTCAGCCATTCAATTTTTTTTTTTTTTTTTCTTTTTCCTCAGTCTGATACGCAGTGAGGGAGGAGAGAAAGAGAAAGAGAAAAATTGAGAGAGGGAGAGGCCGTCGTCGTCGTCGCCGTCGCCGATCGCCGCGCCTCCGCCTTCGCCGCCTCGCTGCTCTGCTCTGATCGTCGCCGTCGCTGCTCTGATCGTCGCCTCCGCCCCTCGTCGGCTCTGCCCCGCTCGTCGCCTCCGCCGATCGCGTCGCCTCCGCCTCCGCCGCCTCCTCCATTTTTTAGGCCCCCTCCATTCCTTCCTCCCCCTCCCCCTCCCCCTCCTCCTCTTCTTCGTCTTCCTCCTTTCTCCTTTTTTTTGAGCCATTCGAGCCGTTGCCCATTCAGGCTCTGTAGCACCACTGATTAGTTAATACATTAATTAGTACATATAAAATGGTGGTGCTATATGCACCGATTAATGTATACATTAGTGTATCAATTAGTATTATGCCATTATTATTGAGCTCACCTATTATATAAATTATAAATATCTAAAATTTTTAAAATTATGTCTCATAATCTATTAATATATTAATTGATATCTATAGTATTATTCTTCAAAACGGTGGATGGGTCGGGTTGGGTGGGTGAGGTGTTGAAGTTCATGTTTGGGCTGGGACCATTTTTGGACCACACCCGGATTCTAGGAGACCTCGGCTAGTTTTTGGTGAACAACTAACTTCTACTTTGGTCTCTCTCTTGATGAAATGGCATGTTTTTCCTTGGACAACTAACTTCCTACTATTATCTCTCTTTGATCAAACCTACGCATCCAACCACAACATACCATACTCTAAAAAGTCCACAATCACTCATAATTTTCTTATTCTCTCTATCTATTCATTGGCAAAATTATGTGCATGAAAAATACTTCATTATTTTAAAAAATAAAATTAATTGTTAAATTTATTCAAACTTAACTCTAAACTATGTCACATCAGATATATTTTAAAAAATTGATCCGTTTTATTATATATATTAAAGCCTCCTCAATTTTGATACAAGACACTTGTAAACTTAGCATACTTTTATTTTTTATTTGTAATTTGAAACTAAGAATGACATTTTCTCCCGTCTCACTCTGCCTTTGCATCCCCCCGATAGGTACTGATTTTTCCATCTTGATAAGGAAGCCGCTCTTACTATGTTTATATGTAATATATATTATACTTAATATTTATTCATACTCATTTATTTATCACCTTACATATTTTATACTCATTGATCATAAATAATTATGGTAGTATATTATATTGTTTCTAATTTTTATTAATATTTGCATTTTTAAAATTAGAAAGTTAACTTGCTCCGGGGCCTTTAATTTGTCTCGTTCTCCATATAATAAGAAAAATGTTAGAAATTCCAAAAGTTTTATCAAATTTTCTATCAAATGTCTCACATGGGTGTGAGACTCACACCATGTAGATTTCACGTGGATCCACCCCCATGTGAGATATTTAATAAAAAAATTAATAAAATTTTTAAGATATCTAGCATTTTACCATCCCTATTTGAAACCAAAACAAACATTGCATACATGTTTGTCAATACATCCATAAATTTTAATTTTTTAGCGAAAACATAACATTTTTATAGTATGAGTATTCTCCCATTGAACTTTAGTATTTTCAGAGTTGAATTAATTGTTCTTTCATTTTAAAATCTACAGTTTGGGGTTGGTTGGGGAGTTAATTAACTTACTGGTTAAAAATAGCCCATTTAGCAAATTAATTTTTTTAATGTCTTTTAAATTTTTTTATGAGGTAACAAATAAATAATTGGTGAAAAGTCTGCACACCATATATTATTTGATCCATTGTTTGATTTTATTTTATTTTGACATTTTAATGAAATTATTTGGTGATAATAACAAATTATTTTAAAAAATATTTTTTCTTCCAATTGTACCCTCATTGCCAACCCACCACCTGTTGAAAAAGTGTCAGAACATTTGCCTGAAAAGTTGTTGGTGGCACCATGTTGTGGTCGACAATGACAGTGGTGGTGGTGGTGATTTGAACAAGTAGATACATTATTGTTTTGGGAAGTATATATTTTAATTAGTTTTTTAATTTTTTTTAAAAAAATGTTTAAAAAAATAAAGAGACGAGTTGATAATTTGTAGTGACTATTGACTATTTTATGGTATTGCCAAAACATCCCTAAGTGGACATAGGTGACATATGAATAAATAGTGGGATGACCCGTGGACAGATAGATAACACATGACATATACGTGGACAAATTGGTGTTGTGGACAAATAGGTGAACATTGGATAGATAGATACATATGTAGAAGTAAAATAGTATTTCAAATTATAATTGTCTTTTTGGCCCCAAAAGTGTAGAGCTTGGGTTTATTAGCTCAAAAATTTTAAAAATAAACCTTTGGGCTGAGTGTCAAAAAAAAATAAATAAATAAAGAAAAGAAAATTGACAAATGCTAACAAGTGTTTCATAGGCATTATTTAATATTAAAAAGCATGTAAAGAGTCAAAATGTTAAAAGTGTATTAATTTTAATAAAAATATATTGAATTTAGTAAAAATTATTGTATGTTCTTCAATTTTTTTGTCTTTTACTTGTATACCAGACAATTGTTAGTGACCCAAAAAAATTGTAGTGTTTAGAATGATTTGTTTAGTTGAGTGGTATTTGTAAAGAAAAATATGATTGATTGATATATAATGAGGCTAAATAACAAAATTTAGAGTGTAATTATCAAAGTAGCAAAATAGAAAAACAAAAAAAACAATAAGTGTATTTTATTTTAATTTTTTGACTTTAATTTTTTGAAAATTGAGTTTTCTATTTTTTTCATTTTTTATTATTTTTAGTGAATATTTTAAAATTTTTATACAATTTTTAATTTTTTTTTATATGCACTTTACTTAGATGTATTTAAAAAATAAAATATTCATAAAAAAAAATTTAAAAAATCAATAAATATACAATAATATAAAAATATATTGAATTTTCATTTTTTAAAATATTTTTTATATTTAGTGAATTTTTTAAATATTTTTTTCACAAATATTATACATTTTATGTGCATTTTATGTTAGGTGTGTTTAAAAATTAAAAAAATCGCTTAGAAATTTTTTTATTTTTTTTAAAATTATCTATAAATCGCATATGGGGGAATGTTGATCTATTTAGTCCTAAGAGTTTTCTCATTAACCAATTAGTCTTTTTTGTTTTGAAAATTTGTATTTATTTAATTTGGTGTCATTTGACTTTAAGATAATGCCTTTTATGATTTATTTTTCTAATTTTCTAATTAATTTTTTGGATGAGAATGAAAAGGTGTGGTGTGAAAGATTCTTTTTGGAGAAATTGTTGGCTGAAGTATTAGTTATCGAGTGTGAAAATCTACATTTCTGCAGTGTGATTTTCTGTTGTTACATTGGATTGTAACGTTTGGAAAAAGTATATTAGGGAGTTTTTGTGCATTACATTGTTTGGAATGTTACATTTAAAAAAAAATATACTAAAGAGTTTTTTTAGAATGTTACATTGATACGTTTGAGAAAAGTACATTAACGAATTTTTTAGTGTGTTACATTAGAATGTTACGTTAGAGAAAAGTACATCAAATTTTTTTTGTGTGTTTGGAACATTACGTTTAGAAAAAATATATATATATTTTTTAAAATGTTACGTTATTACTTTTGAGATAAATATATTAAAGAATTTTTGAATATTACATTAATTGGAATGTTATGTTTAGAAAAAGTGCACTATAGAGTTTTTTAGTGTGTTATATAGGAGTATTATGTTTGAATAAAAAGTTTTTTTGTATTACATTAATTAGAGTGTTACGTTTGAAAAAAGTACATAATTTTTTTTTAATATGTTACATTGGAGTGTTACTCTTGAAAAAGTATATTAGAGAGTTTTTTTTAAGGTGTTACGTTTAGTAATTTCAACATTATGAAAAAAATTCACATTTTAGCCATTAATATAATTCATACTAAAATAAGACCTTTAATCCCATAAAAAAAGAAAGAACCAAATAATTCATAAGATCACTATTTATGATTTATTAATAATTTACTCTTAATTTTTTTTAATAAAATTAAAAAAATTTAATTTTTCAAAAACAATAGTAGTAAGAGATTAGTTTTGCTTTAGGGCCATCTTCCAAATTCCCCAACCCGCTAGGCGGAGCATTCAATCTGTGAACTCTCCACCCTCCCTCGTTTTCATCGACACCTTCTCTCTTTTATTTCTTCAATCAATTCCCTTCTTCTCACCTCTCTCTCTCTCTCTCTCTCTCTCTAACATTGATCAGAATTTCTCATTGAAGGGTACGCTTCGTTTCCATTCTCTTACTTGAATCGGATCTACTAAACTACTATGCTCTCTCTCTTTACTGTCTCAATTACTATGTTAATTCTTACATTTCAACAAATGGGTTTGCTTTTTTAATAGGAATCTGATTTGGAAATGGATTCTGCCTTAACTTTTTGCAAATCTGTCCACTCAACTCCTGTAAGTAACCACATTTTCTCTCCATTTCTGGGTATTTAAGTTTTATTTTTTAAAACAATCACCATTTTTTTCTACTTCATCACCAAATTAAACTTTCAATTTCATTTATTTAGTCCCTAAAGTTTTTAATGTTAGTTGAATCAAGAAAGGCCATTTTAAAGGAACACCCATCAAATTGGTTTGTGTAGGTTGTTCAAAATAGTAATAAAAATGAGTTCTTGATTGCAGGGTTTAAATTGTTCAAATTTTGAAATGATCTTCTTTGCCCATCAAATCAAGCTTGAGCTGTTATTGATTTGTACAATTGTCTCCAATTATATCACTTGAAAGTGAAATCAGGAACTTTAGATACTAAGTAGACCGAAAAAATGGTGATAATTTACGGGATAAATCCGTTTATTTTTGCATTTATATTTGTTTTTCGTTTTAATCATTATTGCTTCTAAATTGTGAAATTTTCGGTACGTACTCTGTTTTCTTTATTTGTGTTCATTAGCTTCTTCCACTACAAGATCAAAATCTCTCTTCTCCTCGCAACTATAGGATTTTACCCTACTTCTTTTGAGCAAAATTTATATTGTTTGTAGAGGATGATGTGAAAATTTCACTATGTTTAACTTGCTTAATGGCATATTGGTTGTGGGTGTGTCAGGGAGGCAAATCTTAGAAATAAACTGTGTTAAAACTGTTTGGACATGTTTGGTTGTATTTTTGTTTTTCATATTTTTGAAAACAAAAAATGACAAGTTAGAAAAACATCATTTTCATTTTTGGGTGAAAAAGTTTTTGAAATTTCGAAACAACTTTGTGGTGTTTCCTAAAAATTTGGTTATTTTTAGAAAAGTTTATTGGAAATAGTTTTCATAATCAGTTAACCAAACTAGTGTTTGTGCTTTTTTGAAAATGGAAACAAAAAATAGAAAAGAAACAACCAAACAAGCCCCATATTTCTTGAACTTTAGTGTTCACATAAAATGCAGCCCACTGCATAGGAGGCTGGGTTGGATATTGAACATTCTGGTTGTGATAGGTCTGCTGAATGATAATAATAAATAAGTGTACTTTTTGTCTTTTTACGAAAAGATGTGCAGAAAAGTAGAGAGGTGATGTGATGGAAAAAAGATAAAAAGATAAAAATATGGATTATTTTGTAGTAGCCAAACTTGGCCTTAATTATAGGCAAATTACACTAACGGTCCCTGTAGTTTGAGATTTGTGTCATTTTGGTCCTTAACTTTTTAATTGTGACACATTTGACTATGAATTTTGAATCTTATTCCAAATTAAGACAATTGAAAATACTATTGCTTAATTTCAAGGGCAAAATCGTCAATTTGATAAAATATAAACTAATTTGACAAAAATAAATGTCAAAAAAATATTTTTGAATTTTTAAAAATTATTTCTACACTAAAGATAAAATTATGTAAAATTAATATATCTTTTAGACATTTATTTATTTTACCAAATTAATTTTTATTAAATGTTTGAATGATAATCATGTAATGGGTGATTGTTTTTGTTTTCATTAAATTAGTTTCTATTTTTTCAAAAGTCAAATATGGCGACAGCTTTGATATCATTATTAAACCAATTCATTAAATTAAAAAATTCAAAACTAAAAACATTTCATATATTAAACATATGGATTACACATTAAAATTCTAACAACCACCCATTACATAATCATCATCTAAACATATAATAAAAATTAATTTGGTAAAAAAAAATATAAAAAAATATTGAAAAGATTTATCAATTTTTCATAATTTTATCTTTTGTGAGTAGAAATCAGTGTGTTTGGTTTGAGTTTTCTGGATTAAGTTTTTTGAAAAATTGAGTTTTTTGGTTTTCGTATTCTTTTGTTTTTAGTGAATATTTTTTAAATTTTAAACATTTTTTTACTTTTTTAGATGCACCTTAGTTAGATGTATCTAAAAAGTAAAAAATTTGTGAAAAAATATTTTAAAAAATTAATAAATACATAGAAATACAAAAAAATGTACTGAATTCTTGTATTTTTTTGTATTTTTGGTATTTAGTGAATTTTTAAAAGATTTTTTTTTTATAATTTTTTTACTTTTTAGGTGTATTTATGTTTGGTGTATCTAAAAAGTAAAAAAATTGCTTAAAATATTAAAAAAATTCAGTAAAAACAAAAAAACACGGAAAATAAGAAAGAAGAATTTTCTGAAAAGTATTTTATGAAAAATGAAAACAAGCAAGCTGAATAATTTTTAAAAATAAAAAAATATTTTTTTAACATTTATTTTTATCAAATTAGTTTATATTTGATCAAATTGATGATTTTGCCCTTGAAATTAAGCAATAATATTTTCAATTGTCCTTATTTGGAGCAAGATTCAAAATTCAAGGTCAAATGTGTCACAATTAAAAAGTTAGGGACCAAAGTGACACGAGCCTCAAACTACAGAGACTATTAGTGTAATTTGCCCTTTAATTATTACACGATGCATCCATTATGATATAATCAAGTCAAGTATAGCCAAATGATCTATTTTACTTAAACAAGTTGGTTCAATTGTATGAAAATTGCACTTTCCCATTGTGACCATGGGGCTTGCTGTGTTACATTCACAAGAATGATTACTTATTTCTTTTTGATGAATTTGTTATTTGATTAACCATTTCATCTAGGTTTATCTAATTTATCTTGCAACCTTTTTATTTTATTATTATATATATTTTTTATAAGTGTCTACTATCTTGCAATGCCAAAGACATTGTAAGACATTGGTCAAGTGATGTCATGGTATTCAAGGGAGGGTTGGGTTACAGTTCTTACTTTTGTTCAACATACTAACTAATCTTGCATTTCCCAACCGGCATGTTTAATGCACTTTGTAATACGTGGCTATGTTCAGCTTTTTGTATGATTTGCTAAAGCCTTTTCATTTTTAGTGCATCCTAGGTTTTTTGGTTGTTTACTAAATTGAGTTAAGTACATTTATAAATTTTCTTCATGCAGGGTTTATTTGTGGGGAGATCTAGAGGAATTCAGAGCCCCCAATGTAGCATTATGGTGGGAAGTAGGGTGAACTTCCCACGGCAGAGAGTCCGAGTTGCTCAGATTAGTCGTAAATCTGTGAAACGAGGAGGAGCCCTTTGTGCTACTTGTCGTGATGAAAAAATTTTGGTGGCAAATAGAGGAGAAATTGCCGTTCGTATTATTCGAACTGCTCATGAGATGGGAATACCTTGTGTTGCAGTTTACTCAACCATAGATAAGGATGCACTACATGTAAAACTGGCCGATGAATCAGTATGCATAGGTGAAGCACCAAGTAGTCAATCGTAAGTCACTATAATTGCTTTGCTACTTGTTAAACTTGAATAATTGTCATCACTATCAAAAGTTCTTTTTGTTGTTTTATAGTTGTTGTTGTTACTATTTTTGTTTTGATGCCAGAGGAGGACAGTTGCCTTTAGTTGTCAAGAATAGTATGAAAACCTTTATTTGGAGTGTGTGTTGCTTTATGATTGAGCTCTCTAGAGCCTAATTGTTTTAATCTTTTTCTCACCATTTATGCTCATATAACTACAACCCTTCTACCATATTTATATTTTAGCTTCTTGTTTTTTAAGACAGGGAACAAGGGACACAAATAATTGCAACTCTTTGCAAGTCCAACACTGTTGCAATTATGTGGTGTTTTAATGGAAGGTTTTACTATCCGAACTGTTGATATTTTACAAATCAGAAAACGCACTGTTTGTTTGATATGATAAAGATGAGGGGATTCAGAAGTGTTGTGCTTAGATCCATGGAATGTTGTTCTTCATTTAGAAGTTGTCAGTCTTGCTTCAGTAACATTAGCATTTGTGGGAACCAGGCTAGTTAATGCTGTTTTCATGGCCTCGCTTCACTTTATTCATTTCTGGTTCAAGATTTATTGGTAGTGTTGGTGATTTGAGCTTACATCTTTCTTCAGCGATGATTTTTGTATGGGGTATATGTTTTATGATGTACTATGTAATAACACAACTTATAGCAAATCCAGTTACTACTTACCATTTTTAGAGGCTCTTTTCTGTCATATATTTTCATAGAACAGAACTTTGTTTAGTCCCTGCCCCTGGTATGATTGATTATGATGTGAACATATATTTTCTTCTTCTTACAGGTACTTAGTGATCCCAAATGTCCTGTCTGCTGCGATCAGTCGTGGGTGTACAATGCTGCATCCTGGATATGGTTTCCTTGCTGAGAATGCAGTTTTTGTTGAAATGTGCAGAGAGCATGGAATCAACTTCATTGGGCCAAATGTAAGTGCTTCCGATGCAAATTTTTGTTTCAATGTGATTTATCCCTCTGTATCTGAAGTGAGCATGTTTATGTGTCATTTAACTATTAAGTGGTTCTGCGTTTGAAATTTATTCGAACATATGAAAAGAGTGTTTCTGTTATTTATAAATTTGAGATCCTTTATTATAATGGGACTTACTTAACCCACCAGCCCAGTTATCATGGCCTCACTATCCTTTAGACTGGATTCTTGGCCTGACCCACTGAGGCTCGACCCAGAGGCAGGCCACTTACCTTTTCAGTGCCTTTACTGATCCAAAGTTATGTCCAAAGCCCATCTGAGAGCCATTATACACCTGACCACCGGACCGGATTGATTTTCTCTGACCCGTCTGACACAACTGTTCCCTCTATTTCGTGTCTCTTCAAAATTATTCCACCAACCCTTCCAAACAGCTGTAATGTGTTATGCAATTGTGTCAAATGCATCTTTTGCACACATATTGTTAGGTACTTTGTGTTGATCTTTGTTGGTTGGGAACTTAGTTGCATGAAGCGGAAGCGGGAGCGGGGGAACGTTGCCACTTAGAGCAGTCGTAGATTAGGAGCGCTTATGTATTATTTTTATTAATTATATTTTTAAATAATATATATAAATACATTGTGAGATATAATTTTTTTTCTCCAATTAATATTTGAAATATATTATAACTATCATAAATTGTATTTTATTTTGTGTTGTTAGATTTTACGTAGAATTAAAATCTATTTATTTTGTAGATGAATTTTTTGTAGATATAAAAATTAACATTAATTCAATATATGTATAACCCATTACATTTATATTTATAAAGGTAAAATAAATAAATAAATAGAGAAATTAAAAAATATATTAGAATAATTTTAAATACAGAAAAAATTTGTAATTTCAACCATTATACATCACAGGAAAAATAATCATTGCATCAGCCCACATCATTATTATGATATAAGCACTACACAAAAAGTAACCATTAATATTGACTTCTTGACTTCTTCCCCATCTTCTTTATTTAATATTATATTATAATCAAAAGAAATAAAAAAAAGAAAGAGAGAAGAGAGACTAGGGGGGGGAGAGAGAGAGAAGAAGAAGAAGAAGAAGAAGAAGAAGAGATGGGTCGACTGAGAGAGAGAGAAGAGGAGATCGATAGAGAAGATCGATCGAGAGATGTGATCGAAGAATCGATTGGCACGAGACAGAGACGAGGTCGATTGAGAGACGAGATTGAGAGTGAAGAATCGATTGGCTCGAGATCGAAGTTGGCGACCAGAGGGAAGTCAGTGACCAAGTTCTCCTTGCTCTTTCCTCTTTCGTTTCTTCTGTATTTAGGGTTATTTCGTTTTCTCAGTATTTAGGAATTGATCAGATTCGCGTTTCTCTCGCATCAAACTCGCAATTCTTCTACGAATCTGAGTTAGAAGCGCAGAATCGCGCTTTTGAGGAAGAATCGTGAGCAAGTTGAATGATTCCTGCTACTAAGAATCAATGTATAAGACAAAAATAAGTATAAACATATGGGATACAACTTTTTCTGTGCAAAAAAATAAAAATAAAAATAACACACACACAACAAGAGTTTCACCCCATCTTTTAGTAAATATTTTTCTCACTTTCCACTGTCTTGTAATTTTTATTACATTTTTGTTTTCCTCATAATTAGCAACAACTCTTCCCTTTTTTATATTGATAACTAATGGATATCATCATGTTTTTTAACTGACTAAGATTTCAGGGAAGTGCATAGTTATTTTGTACTAAAAAGTTCTTATATTTTGATCTATCCAAAGCAAAATCCTTATATTTGGTAAAGGATTTGAAATTCCAGTGTCATGATTTTGCAGCCTGACAGTATACGTGTGATGGGTGACAAAGCAACGGCCAGGGAGACAATGAAGAATGCTGGTGTTCCAACTGTACCAGGCAGTGAAGGGTTGTTGCAGGTATTAGGTTTTATCAGTATTTTGGGCATCATGAAAGCATCCCTTCAGTTAAAAATCAAATTTGCTATTCCTTGGTTTATTTATTTATTTTTATAATTATTGTCATTGTAGAATACGGAAGAAGCTGTTAGGCTTTCTGAGGAGATTGGCTTTCCTGTGATGATCAAGGTAAATGATCAGAACTCAAATCTTCTATACGTAAATTATGCGGGATTGTGATACAGGCCCATAAATTATGTAGACTTCATAAAAAATGGCAATCTGTATATGTGCAAGAAGATACAGTGGCTTTACACCTATTCCTATCTTGAAAGATTTATCACCTTGTTGGGGGGATTTCAAGGTTGCAATGCGGCAGTAACAGATTTTAACCAATTTTTCTAACATCTCGTCTGTCACCAACTGGCACGTGCCATGTCACTTTGTGGAGTTTTCTACCTTCAGTTCCCAGAAATAGTGGGCAGCATTTTCCTAGATAATTTGTTATGCCTTTTGATGAAATTCTGGTGGCACCCGTCTGGTTCATTCTGTTTCGTAATTGGCTCGTATTGCAATAATGGGAATTATATTGTCCCTCTTTCAACAGAGTACCATGAGTTTTCTTTTGTTCTTTTTTTGACCTTTTATTTCTTTATTTTAGATTGTGTGAATATTTTAGGAAACAAGAATAAAATATTCACACAAATGTATATACTAATATTCTCACAGCGAGGACATGTGGAAATCTCTGAAAGGTTGAATCTTCTTGAATGTTCAAACTCCCAATATGCAGATAATCAAAATGGTTTGCTGTATCGTGGAGCTTGCAATAGATTGTAGTTGTATTTTTTGTATGTTCTGTTTGATTGTGGAGAATATATACGAAAAGAAATGAAAGGTTGGAACCTTAAAGCAGTCAGTCGGGGTTGCAATCTCTCTCTCTCTCTCTCTCTCTCTCTCTCTCATGACTGTGTGATCAAATTAATCATAATTTATAACTGCATAGGGGATCGAGTGAACTGATTGACTACTTTATGTTTTGAAGGCAACAGCTGGTGGTGGAGGACGTGGAATGCGTCTTGCTAAAGAACCTGATGAGTTTGTGAAGTTGTTACAGGTATTTCTGTTTTTGGAAGTTACCTTTGAGTTACTTATGCGCAAGCATGAACTATTGGTACTCTTTGACAAATGGTTATGTCTTTGCTCTTTGTGTGATTTGTTAGAAATTAAAGTTAAATATGTTGTATTGAAAATGGTATATGAAATTATGTTCTTGGGTTTCTTTAACTATTATTGCCACTGTTGTATACTTACTTGCTGATCAATTGGGCTGTTTAGAGGCAATTTGCTTAATTGTGTCAGTATTTTGCAGTCTATATGCAATCGCGTGCACTGTGTGGGGGATACTATGCATACTTTGTGCAAAATTATGAGATTTATGCAAGATCCTTTATTATGATTGATTTTTTTATTTTATTTTATTTCTTTTAATTATACATATTTATTTCAATTGGTTCCAAAACAGTACGACAAATGAGTTAGTAAATTCATTCGTTCCGTGTATTCGCTACAAGTGTTTTTACAAAAAAAAGTTCGTCCTTAAGGATGGCTTCAAGTATGTTTACTTCGAATTGGTTGTTTCAACAGCAAGCTAAGAGTGAGGCTGCAGCTGCATTTGGAAATGATGGTGTTTATTTGGAGAAGTACATCCAAAATCCAAGGCACATTGAGTTCCAGGTAATTGTTTTGTCTGTTTAGGGTTTTCACCTAATCCAAAGGATTGTCTGGTGTTTTTTGTGCTAAAACAGAAAATGACAGCAACACAAGGAATTGATGCTGGTTATATCGACTATAATGGGAAATTCTGTGCAAGAACTTGGAGTAATAATGATGTCAACCACCTGATTGCTTATAAACTTCTACACTCTCTGTTAAACTTGATTGTAATCGAATTATGTTGCATACTTACATTTGGTAGAAATCTTGGTTAATAAAAACTGCTTTGGACAACATGCTGGGTAATTATTTAGTAGAACAACAAAAATCACATCCTCTGCAATTTCGATTTATCATGCTGTTGCAGGTAGCCTTATCCCAAATTCCCAATCCCATCTATTTGAGGTTAGCTACCCAGATGTTTACTTCAAATTTGTTGTAGGGGTTGTTTGGGGTGTCCTAAATAAGTGTACTTTTTGTCTTTTTGAACTAAAAAGTTGAGGAAAAAAATATGGATGGTTGGGTTAACTTTGTCTTTTTACGAAAAAATGTGTAATAAAAAATTGTATAAATAAAGTGTATAGTGGAAGAAAATTAATTGATTGTACGGCTCTCCTGCTGCTGCGCAGCATGTCTCCACAGAAATAATTGCCTCCTTCGGGGCAAATAACTTTTGGATAGTGATGGTCGGTTCGTGGGGGCCATCATGGGTCCCATTTTAATAATCTGAATTGTTAAATATGTACAACTCGTTGAGTATTATATGCCTGTAAAAAATCATACTGATCGGATATCGATAGCTATATGATCGGATTAGTTTTGTTCAACAGTTAACTATCACATCATCCGTTTTGTTTATACAAAACTGATTTGATCATATAGTTCACGATATCCGATCAACGTGATTTTTTACAGACATATATTACTCGACGAGTTCTACATATTCAACGGTTCAGATAATAAATGGGACCCATGGTGGCCCCTACAGACCGACCATCACTGTCTAAAAGTTATTTGCCCCGAATGAGGCAATTTTTTTTTGCCCCAAGAGAAGTGTGACGTTGTCAGTGGATTTATTTTATAAACATATATAAAATATTTTTTTAATATTTTTTATTTGTGAATAGTAATATTTTTTTGCTTTTTGTATAACTTTTTGACTTTTTGGATTATATTTGACTTGCCAAACTTGGCCTAATATCCAAGTGTTGAACCCTTTTACCCAAAACATCTAATTGTCTTCTGGGATCATCATCAGAAGTTCTTTCAAGAGTATGTTTAACTGTCAAAACCGTCTCGAGTTCTCTAGAATGTTCATCTTGGCAGAAAAGATTCATGTTAGTTCCATAATGTTAATAAAGAGAATTCAGTATTTTATTTAGCAATAATATCCGTCATGCATTAGTTGATGTACAATAGCCATTAGCACTGATGTGGGGTTACAGATGTCCTTCATATCTGGACTTGTGAATACATGAATATTGAATGCTTTTGAGTGTACTATAAGTAATGTTTATTACTTGTTATCTTTATGTGAGAGATTAACCTATTTTATTGCATATATGTTGTTGTATATTGTAGATGAATTAAATATTACATTTCAAGAAGTATGAGTTGGGTGGGAATATAATTTGTAGCATGCTGTCATTGAAAACTATAACACTTGATCCTATTATGATCTATAGATTCACCTCTGGCGCACCATTTGCTTTACAGGTTCTTGCAGACAAGTTTGGTAATGTTGTTCACTTTGGAGAGCGTGATTGCAGTATTCAGGTATGTTTAACTGCCTCATATCCCTCTTTATGTTTTATGTTTTTCTTTTAGTCATTAGTAGCTATTGAAACTTTTGACTTACTAAGGCCCCGGCAATCTAAAAGCTGATAATCTAATGCAGAAGTTAAAAGCATCATTTTCCCAGCTTCTCAATAATCAACTTCTTCAACTTAAAAGTAATTTTTTGCTTCATTAGCTGTAAGCACTAAGCTGAAGTTGCACCAACACTTTGGCACAAATTCTCAAAATGAAAAAAACTATGGACACTACCATGAGGTGCACCAAATGTGGCCTAACACTTTGTCAATTAAACCATTAATTGTATTGAAGTTTGGAACAGGAGGCTTTTGTATGAGCTCAATCCAGAGTTTGGAACTTGATTAAAATTAAAAGCATATGATCCACTGTTGCAACAGAGGGGGCAACTCAAGGATTTTAACTTAAAATATGCCACTAAGAATCACTTTTTTAAGTTTGGGACTCGTAGGACCTTATTCATAAGCATAAAGCACTCCTATAGAGCTGTCACCACACTTGGAGCTCGACAAGTGTAAGAAGTTTGATGAAATACATAGGCTTTCATGCCTGCGTATTCAAATCTATGAATAAGTGTAACCGAAAGCAACATTTAAATTGCACACAGCTTCAAATAAATATATGCAATTGATTTCCAAAAAAGTATTTTGGACAGAAACACTGAAACAGCAATAATAGTGGAAACTTTTAGCCAAAATACATTAGATGCTGTAATTTGCAGCATGAAAATGTGAGAATATGTGAGAATATTGGGAGAATATTGTTTCTCCTTTTTCCTTTTAGGTTTAGGAATTAGAGTTGGCTTAGGAATTAGAGTTCTATAAGTGATGTATTCTTGTAGGCTTTGGAATTAGAGTTCTATATATAAGTGATGTATGATGTATTAATTCAGTTGAATATACAGTTTCATTCAAAAAACTTATATGGTATCAGAGCCCTAGAAACCCTAGAAATTGTTCACCACTCAGCATCGTGAGTCGTGGTCGTATCCCTTGATCATGATTGATGGCTTGTCTGGTTCAAAGGCCTCTCTTTCTCTTGATCGACTGGTCTGTATAGGTCAATCGATTGATTGATTGGTCTGTCCAAGTTGTTCGATTGCTGGAAACCACTTATTCTCTTTCCTCCTTGTCTCGCAGTTGTGGTTTTCTAGTTTGCTAGTTCATCCCCTCTAATTCGCGACTCGCAATCTCTTGCGAGGAGTCTGCTCCGGTTCGCTGTCTCTCTCTGTCTCACTGGTTCTCCTTAGGGCTTCAACATCATCGCAATCGAGCTCTCTGGTTATCTTTCTTGGTATCTGAGTTCACCAGTATTTGACCCAGCTGTGCTAACTTTGGGATTATTATAGTTTGACCCCTCTGATTAATTTGTTTTATACTTGGACACCATAAACTTTGCTTTATTACAATGTCGGATACCAAAATCCAAGCATCAAATGCAAACTCACCGGTGGCAATTATGCCTATTGGGCCAATGTTATAAAGAATTTTCTTCTTGGTCAGAAAAAAATGGGACTATGTTTTTGGTTGTTCCTCGTCCATCGGACCCAAAGGCAGAAGAGTATCTGACTTCCTATGACTCTTGGGATTGTGATGAATGCCTAAATTCTAACTGGTTTCATAATTTTGTGGATGATCGTATTGGAATGATGTTTTCTAAGTATAGTACTGTCAAGGAGGTGTGGGATTATTTATTAGGTGTTTATTAGTAGTCCAACTTTGCCAAGTGGTATGAGTTGGAAATAGCTATTCAGAGTGCTCATCAGCAGGATCAGACTATTCAAGACTACTATATTGAGATGACAGATCTTTGGGATCAGTTGGCTTTTATGGAACCACCTAGTCTCAAGATACTGGACGCCTATATTGAGTTTCGGGAGCATGGTCGTTTAGTGCAGTTCTTAACAGCTCTCTCCCCTCAGTATGAGGCTATCCGAGGTGGCATCCTTCACCGATCTCCTTTTCCCTTTGTGGATGTTATTGTTCGTGAGCTCCTCTTTGAGGAAACCCATCTTAAGACGGCCAATCACACTCTGCATCCTTCAGTCTTCTTGGCTCCTGCCAAGCCTCCCTTGTTATCGACCCTACCTCCTCATCAGCTTCAGGCTACTACGAAACCCAAGAAAGGACCATTAGGGTCAAATGAGTGTGCTTTCTGCCATTAGAGGGGTCATTGGAAGAACAACTGTCCCAAGAAGGGATGTCAGCTTGCTCTATCTTCTCAGACATAGTTCCGTGATCTTACTCCGGGTACTTTCCGACCTCCTGCTGCTTATACTGCATCTGTTTCGGCTCCCGATCCTGACTTGGCTTCCTTGACTGCTCAGATTGCATAACTTTAGCATATCCTGTCCACCTCTTAGCCATCTCCATATGCCTCTGTTTTTACCTCTCTTCATTCAGATTTGTTTGGGTCCTCTTCAGGTATCCCTTCTTCTGTCTGGCTTTTTAATTCTTATGCCTCTCATCATATGACTCCTCATTTTTCCTTACTTCAAAACTGTATTCGCCCACCCATTCCTATTACTATTAATACTGCTAATAGGTTAGGTGTGTCCGTTCTGTCTATTGGGTCTGTCTTACCCTTTGCCATGTTTGCTGTTACTATTCTCTCTGTTCTTTGTGTCCGCTATCTGTCAGTTTATTATCTATTAATCAACTTGATGCTTTTGGTTTCAGGATCGGGTGTACAAGAAGCAGATTGGGACCGACCGTAGAGTTGGAGACCTCTATGTGGTAGAAAAGTTGCATCTCCCTTTATCCACTTCTCCAGGTGCACTTTCCTCGTTTTGGTTAGATTCTTAGTCGAGTCAGTTTTACTTATGACATTCTCACCTCGGTCATTTTTCTGTTGACCGCTTACGGTCTTTAGTTCAATTAGGGTTATTAGGTAAAGTTTCTCCTAGTCAAATTGATGAATCTCGGGGGTGTAAACTTGCTAAAATGTCAGCTTTACCATTTAATAAAAGTACGTCTATTTCTGTTTCTTCTTTTTCGCTTGTGCATACTGATATCTGGAGATCCTCTCCTGTTCTTACTAAAGGGGGTTTCTGCATATTATGTGTCTTTTGTTCATGATTGCATCCGCTATACTTGAGTTTATTTTATGACTCATAAATTTGACTTCTACCAAATATACTGTAACTTTCAGTCTATGATCACTACATAGTTTGGGTTTACCGTTAAATTGTTACGTTCTGACTTAGGTGGGAAGTATTTTAAAACTGAGTTCTGTGAGTATCTGGCCAACTTGGGTACCATTCACCAAACTTCCTGTACTGACACGTCCGCCCAAATGGTCGTGCTAAGCATAAACACCGTCATCTCCTTGAGACAGCTAGATCTCTTATTGTTTCTGTTTCTGTTCCGACTCCCTTTTGGGGAGAAGCCATTCTTACAGTTGCTTTTTTTCTCAATCGTATGCCTACTCCCCTACTCTCTAGTCGTTTTCCTTATAATGTTCTATTTTCCCAACTCCCCAATTACTCTCTCTTTCGTGTTTTTGGGTCTGCATGTTTTGTCTTTCTTTCCCGGAAAGATAGGACAAAACGTAGTGCTCGGTCTGTCTTGTGTGCCTTTTTGGGATACAGTCTTACTCAGAAAGGCTATCACTGTTACGATCCTATTTCTGGCCACCTTTATGTCTCTCACCATGTTGCCTTCCTAGAGCATCTATCTTACTTTTAGCTTGCTCCTCTCACTGCTCCGGTTTCTAAATAAAATTTGGTTCACATTGATCCATTTCCTTCTGAGCTCCCTCTTGATGAGTACATCTTTACTGTTCCTCATGAACTTGTTCTCTCTTCTCGTCCTACTACATCTTCTGATGACTCTCTCTCCATTGTACCCCATGAGTCTGTTCTATCCTCTCCCCCACCTGCTCATTCTCCTCATTCGTTGTTAGTTTATTTTCGTCGCAAGGCTCTCCCTCCACCAGTTGTCTTTGCCACTGCTGCTGATCCTTCTACTTCTGACGACCCTGATCTAGCTAACCGTAAGTATTCCCTTTGCGTCCGTAAACAGATAGTCAAACTTGGTTTTGCTAAAACACGTTTTTCTCTTTTATATTGTACATTTTTATCTGCTATTCACTTTTTTTCAGAACCTCAGTCTTACAAGGAGGCCTGTCAGGATCCTAATTGGATTCAAGCTATGGTAGATGAGTTGTTTGCATTACGAAAGAATCGTACTTGAGAGCTGGTTCCTCTGTTTGCTGGGAAGAATCTGATTGGTTGCAAATGGGTCTATAAAGTCAAGTCTCATTCTGATGGTTCTCTTGAGCGCTATAAAGCTCGCCTGGTTGCCAAAGATTTCTTACAAGAATATGGTATTGATTATGGGAAGACCTTTGCCCCTATTGCTAAAATGACTATTGTCCGTATTTTTATCTTTTTTGCTGCTGTTCGTCATTGGCCTCTTTATCAGATGGATGTTAAGAATGCTTTTTTTAATGACCATCTTACTAAGGAGGTTTACATGCGTCCTCTCCCTGACATTCACCATTCCTCTGGTCAGGTTTGTCGTCTTCGGCTTGCTCTGTATGGTTTGAAGCAATCTCCTTGTGCTTGGTATGATCGCTTTCAGACAGCTATTACTGAGCTTGAGTTTCATCCTTGTGCTCACGACTCTGCATTGTTTCTCCTTCACAGCTTTGCTGGTTTTGTTGCCTTATTATTATATGTGGATGATATGATCATCACTGGCTCTGACTCTTCTGCTATCTCTTCGGTCAAGCAACATCTCTTCCGTACTTTCGAAATAAAGGATCTGGAACCATTGCGGTATTTTCTTGATATTGAGGTAGCTTTTTTTCCCAAGGGCTACTCTCTGTCCTAGGCCAAGTATGCCAACAAGGTTATCCATCGTGCCGGTCTTACTGACACTAAGTTTTCTGATACCCTCCATTGAGCTTAATGTAAAGTTCAACACTATTGATGGTGTTCCTTTGGACGATTTTACATTATATCGCGGGCTTGTGGGTTGCTTAGTCTATCTGACCATTACCCGCCTTGATCTTGCCTATGCTGTTCACGGGTTAGCCAGTTCGTTTCTGCTCCTCGCTCCACCCATTAGGCTGCATTGGTTCGGGTTCTTTGCTATCTCCAAGGTACTATCTTTCAGGGCTCACTAATGTCCTTTACTTTCTCTTTGGACATGGTGGCCTATGCTGATTCTGATTAGGCTGATGATGTTATTGATTGCAAGTCTATGTTTGGTTACTGTATGTTTCTTGGTGATTCCTTGATCTCTTGGAAAAACAAGAAACAATCAGTTGTTGCTCGTTCTATTGTTGAAGCTGTATGGCTCATGCCACTGCTGAGATTATTTGGTTTCGTTGTCTCCTGTTTGATTTAGGTATCCCTCAATCTTCTCCGACCTCTCTCTATTGTGACAACCGTAGAGCTATTCAGATTGCCCACAATACGGTCTTCCATGAACAGACGAAACACATTGAGATTGATTGTCACTTTGTCCATCAGCATCTTCAGTTTGGCTCTATCTCGCTTCCTTTCGTCTCTTCGACTTTGCAACTTGCTGACTTCTTTACCAAGACTCACACCACTGTTCGGTTTCGGTTTCGGTTTCGGTTTCTTCTTGACAAACTCTCAGTGTTTTCTGCTAAAATACCTTGAGTTTGAGTGGGGGTGTGAGAATATGTGAGAAAATTGGGAGAATATTGTTTCTCCTTTTTCCTTTTAGGTTTAGGAATTAGAGTTGGGTTAGGAATTTGAGTTCTATAAGTGATGTATTCTTGTAGGCTTAGGAATTAGAGTTCTATATATAAGTGATGTATGATGTAATAATTCAATTGAATATACAGTTTCATTCAGAAAACTTATAGAAAACCCTAAATGCAAATTGTTGTTAATGTCCTTGCAAACCTGATGCCCTTGACCAAGCTGAAGGCCAGGCATCATAGAAATTTTATGAGCATCAGTTTGAACTTATGAACTTATAGAAAATTTTATGTCTCTTCTCCAAAATCTGTTTTAAGAAATCAGTTTGCCTCCCCTTGTCCCTTGAAAGCCACATAATTTTTTTTTTGATGGGTATGTCTGTGCATGCTCGTGTGCTCTGGGTATCTACTCATGGTGATCTTTCACTGGTTGAAATGGAGGCTGATGGCAATAGGAGATGATGAGGGCATGGATGTGAATTTGAGTCTTTGATGTACCCATATAGGCTAGGAAGCACGGATACAGATACGGGATACGGATACAATACGATACGATACGATACAGATACGGCGATACGACAAAATTTGAAAAACTAGAATACGGATACGGCGGGGATACGTTCGTAAAAAATATTATTTTAACAATTTTTAGTAATGCAGTATGCATAAAAATAAAACCTAAAGCAAAAGACAACTTGATAAAGAAGAAAGATTCCTATAAAAATAAGAGTCTTCAAGGTCAATAGCTTCAACTTGTTCCCCTTCATCAGTGAATACCACAAGACCTTAGCTAAAGCCAAAAAATCATTTTTAAATAAAAATTTCAGCAAATATATTTTTTTAAGTCATCAATGATAGTCTAGGAAGCACGGATACGGATGTGGTGATATGGGGATGTGGATATGGCGATTTGTCAAAACTTGAAAAAGTATGATACGGGTACAGCGGGGATACATTTGTAAAAAAAAATTTATAATTTTAAAAAAATTTATAATTTATAATTTCAAACATTCATAAAACATCCAAAACTAAAAGCAAAAGCAAATGCGAATTAAACATCATCCTCACATGCCAACATCAAAAAAAGAATGAGAGCAGAGAGAAGAAACGTGAGAGAGTGAGAAAGCGAGAGAGAAGTGAGAGAGACAACAAGGATACATCAATTTGACAAATTTTATTACTTTAACTCTTACTATATTCCTTTTATCAAAGAACTAAACAAAATATTATAAGTAATATGTAATTTCGAGTATCCGGTACTTCAAAATTAAGTATCCGATACGTATCCGCGAGTATCCGAGGAGTATCGGTATCCGATAAGTATCCGATACGGATATATCACCCTTTTTGAAGTATCCGTGCTTCATAGCATATAGGTATTCATGCTTTAAATTTGATGTGATCAACATATGAGTTTCCAATTAAACGAGTATGTTAAAGAAAATCTAAACCAGATAACACCCCCTCCCTAGTGGCACTCAAGGAAAAAAGGAAAAGAAAAAAAAAAACACAGAAAGCAATGAGAGAAAACCTAATTTGCAATAGAAATTGTGATGGAACAGAGACCAAAGACAATTTTATTTCCACATATGATCTTAAAGATAGAAGCATTCTCCCAGTGTACTTGATCTAATAATTTTCAACAACGAACATTCTAAACTGTTGGAGTTGTTAAGAAGGCCAATAAGCTAATGCTGGTGAACTGTGAAAATGTTTAATTGGAGTATCGGAAAAATGAAGAATTACTGAACTTTGTGGAGGTCTTCATTACTTTTGTTGTTGGAAATGTAGCTTATTGAAGTAAAACATTGTATTGAATGACTTGCTTCTGCAGAGAAGGAATCAGAAGCTGCTGGAAGAAGCACCCTCACCTGCATTAACGCCAGAGTTGCGGAAAGCCATGGGTGATGCAGCAGTTGCAGCAGCAGCGTCCATAGGATACATCGGTGTTGGTACTGTTGAGTTCCTTTTGGATGAAAGAGGTTCATTTTATTTCATGGAAATGAATACTCGAATCCAGGTACAAGAAGGAGCTGCCAGTATAAATTTAAGGGTTCTTTTGAAGTACTTGATTGAGATTTATCAGTTATTGTGCACGCTGTTTCTCATGTTGGCCAAAATTTTAGGTTGAGCATCCTGTGACAGAAATGATTTCCTCTGTTGACCTGATTGAAGAACAGATCCGTGTAGCTATGGGAGAAAAACTTCGTTACAAACAGGTACTGAAAATGAGATGCTTAGAATACTCTGGGCATAAATTACAATTGGCGGCGGCATATGGCTGAGCACCCGAGCCAACACGACCGACTGCCTCCGGTTCCTCCAGTGGCCGATCATCATCATCGGCGTGGCTTTGCGTTGTTGATGAGAGTTTTTTTTTGGTGGTGTGTTTGAGTGTCTTCGCTCTCTCGTCGAGCTTGGCGATGTAGACGAAGGTCTCGCGGTCTTTGGAGAAGGCCATGGTTGATCGATCGGAGCTCTACTTGCTCTCTTATCTCTCTCGTCTTCCGTCGCTGTCGAATTGGGGAGAAACTGGAGAGGTCGAGGGAGCTCACGTGACGGAAAGCGTCGCACGGGACGCCGGACCATGTGCAGTGGCTGGTGGAGATGTTCCAGCTGGAGAGAGAGGAGAGAGAGTAGGGCAATGTCAACAGAACTTGAGCTACTTGATTGGAAGCACAGCTAAACCAAGCGTCCCAAGCAGAACCGCCATGCCAGAGGAGGTTCTTGACACGGAAAATGGACTGGTCTTCTCGTGGGAGTTTGGAGAGAAAGCAAGAAGAGAGCCGCTGCTGCTGCATTCTTAGCTTCATGGCCTTGAATGATGGGTCATGGTTGGAGCATGAGTGCTCCTCACCAAAGATGCAGAGGGTCGGAAGGGATGATGCCAACGAAGGTATAAAGAAGGTATGTGTAGAGGTCCGGCAGAATAGATTGAGGTCCGCCAGTGAAGCGAAAAATACTAAGTTCTTAACCTTGCTCTGATACCATGTTAGATTTTATGTATAGAGAAATAGAGAAAATGAATTATGTATTGATTTGTTGATTTACAATAGATACACACACTCCTTCCTGATAGGAATTTTACAGATTTGGCAGAACTAGAAAGAGAGAGAGAAGATTTGGAGAAGGATGGGAAGGTATGTGTAGAAAATAAGCGGAATAGATTGAGGTCCGGCGGACGGCTAAGGTGAGGTTGCTGCCCGCCGGTGAAGCGAAAATATTAGGTTCTAAACCTGCTCTGATACCATGTTAGAATTTATGTATTATTGATTGATTTTTTTGATATATTACAATGATTCCTATATATAGAAGAGAGGATGTGGGAAGAGAATAGGTGAGTGTGTAGTAGGTATGGAGTAGGTGAGGAGTAGGTGGAGAGTAGGTGAAGTAGGTGAGTGTGTAGTAGGTGGTAGTGGTAGGTGTGTAGTAGGTGAATTTTAACAAAGATAGAAGCATTCTCCCAGTGTACTTGATCTAATAATTTTCAACAACGAACATTCTAAACTGTTGGAGTTGTTAAGAAGGCCCATAAGCTAATGCTGGTGAACTGTGAAAATGTTTAATTGGAGTATCGGAAAAATGAAGAATTACTGAACTTTGTGGAGGTCTTCATTACTTTTGTTGTTGGAAATGTAGCTTATTGAAGTAAAACATTGTATTGAATGACTTGCTTCTGCAGAGAAGGAATCAGAAGCTGCTGGAAGAAGCACCCTCACCTGCATTAACGCCAGAGTTGCGGAAAGCCATGGGTGATGCAGCAGTTGCAGCAGCAGCGTCCATAGGATACATCGGTGTTGGTACTGTTGAGTTCCTTTTGGATGAAAGAGGTTCATTTTATTTCATGGAAATGAATACTCGAATCCAGGTACAAGAAGGAGCTGCCAGTATAAATTTAAGGGTTCTTTTGAAGTACTTGATTGAGATTTATCAGTTATTGTGCACGCTGTTTCTCATGTTGGCCAAAATTTTAGGTTGAGCATCCTGTGACAGAAATGATTTCCTCTGTTGACCTGATTGAAGAACAGATCCGTGTAGCTATGGGAGAAAAACTTCGTTACAAACAGGTACTGAAAATGAGATGCTTAGAATACTCTGGGCATAAATTACAATTTATTTAATGCGTCATGGCTTCTTATTGACAGGAAGATATTGTGCTTAGAGGACATTCAATTGAATGTCGCATTAATGCTGAAGATGCTTTTAAAAATTTCAGACCTGGGCCAGGTATGTCTTATCATATGGTTTTAGTTGGTTTATTTGGATTTTTTTTTTACGAGTCAAAGTCTCATAATTTTTATTTTTGTAGTTGTGGTCTTGTTAGAGTCCTAGGTTTTCCAAAGCTTATATAAAGTTATGTAATCCTTCTAATTTAATGGTGTGCAAGCTTCATATTATCTACCAGCTCTGAAGTTCTGTTGAGTTTGTTTTGCAATTCTTGACCTAGGTTTTCCATTGGACAGGCCTAATTCATCTCTCCTTCAGTTATTTAACTTTTGTCTGCTACGTAACTTTTGTATGCTGCCTTTGCTTAATTGAAGCCCAGAGGCCCTCACCTGTTGTTATCTTCCAAAAATCCTAAAATTCCATACTTCGAACCTAAAAACTGACTGATTATGATCATGTATGGAACCTGTCTCAAGTGCTGTCTTGCATCGGTTTTGGTATGATAGGCAACAGGGAGGGTGTTGTTTCATACTTCTTCATCATTCTAATAATGGAGGGTTTCAAGTACAGGGAATATAGAAACTAATTTTTTTTTTTTGGGACATCAGGGAGAATAACAGCGTACTTGCCACCTGGAGGTCCATTTGTGAGAATGGATAGTCATGTCTATCCTGATTATGTGGTTCCACCAAGCTATGATTCCCTACTTGGAAAGGTTTGTCAAATTTTGGTTTTGTGTACGTGCAATGTATGATGGGCCAGTGTTTTTCTCCTTTCTGTATATGTTTCTTGATCATAGAGACTTGGATTGGTGAATCCCTGAATTTTTGCTTGCATCCTCGTGAGTTTGTTTTATTTATTTAATTAATTAATTAATTTTTTTAATACTGTTATTTATGCGAATGATTTGTGTTCAGAACTGTAAGAATGATGTGTGAATTTGTTGATGTTTTGTGTGTATATGTCCATGGGCACGCAATTTGAACAGCTGAATAGCTTAGCTGAGCATGTCAACATCTATATGTTTGCATTTGATTAAGCTTTGGATGCTTGGGCTTTAGACATGAATGTGTTTCTGGAATAGAACTTCAGCGGTTGGTTTAAGGGTCTGACTTAAGGTTCTGATCTGGCTTATAATCTATTGCCACAATGCTTTATTGCTCTCTACTGTTTTGTTACAATGCTTTATTACTCTCTACTATATTGTTTTAGAAATTTGAAAATGATACTTGTTCTGAAAGGAATTCATCTGTGTTTTAAGCCTCCTAATCCCTCAAGATTTGACGAAGATTTAAGAATCATCATTTATTTTTTAATCCAAAACTAGGATATTAAACTACGAAATTTCAAACTCTCTGTTGGCCTCAAATCCCTTCTAGGCCCCTTGCCCCCAAACATAGTGTAAAAGAAATGAATGACCAAGTGCCTAAGAAAGAGTGCAAATAAGTAATACTAATAGGTTTTAATGCATGGTTGGTTTGCAACTTAAAGTGAAGGCATAGTAATCTGTATCATGTTAGATGTGACGATAATATCTAATGAGATTATGGTTAGGTTTTGCAAATTTATTTCATTGTTGAGGTTTGAAAATGTGCATGAATATAGTACTAGTATATTTATATGTGGAAATATACAATCTTGCTACTTAGGCATTGCTCAGTCAATTGGATGCCTTAAGTTAAGACTGATTTAGGAACTTGATTGCAGTTTTTTTTTGGTGTTATTTTCTTTGTCCATATTGAAAACTTCTTCTAATTATTTGAACGTGTTATCTTTAGCTTATTGTATGGGCTCCAACAAGAGAGAGAGCTATTGAACGCATGAAAAGGGCTCTTAATGACACTATAATTACAGGTAAGCGTTGTAGTATTCGATTAATATCATGCCATGGGGTCGTGTTCCATTTGTGTTTTTTTGGTTTATGAACCTTCGCATCATGGGTTAGTGAAACACTCTCCATTTTGGAGGGAGCAAGTGGGGGCGGGGCGGGGCGGGCGTGCGTGTGTGGGTGTGTGTGTGTGTGTGTGAGAGAGAGAGAGAGAGAGAGAGAGAGAGAGAGACCTCAATTATATGAGTGCAGCTTAAACAATAAGAGACCTCAACTTTTAGTGTTTTACATTACATTTGTGTTTTTGTGAACTTGGAACATATTTATTCAATCTCTAGAAATTTAAAAAACCATTTTACTGTCTCTAATTACTTCTCAGTTGATATGAATTCCAATTTCTTTTGGCAGGAGTTCCAACAACAATTGACTACCACAAACTTATCCTAGACGTTGAGGTACGCAAATTTCTAAACATCTTTTATCTTCCTTCTTGGAATTCCTTATATTTGGGGGTTTGAGACTTCTGATTTGTCTAAAATTGCTTTGTACGTGTTGTGATACAGGACTTCAAAAATGGAAAAGTTGATACTGCTTTTATTCCGAAGCATGAACAAGAATTAGCTGCGGTAAAGAGCTGAAATGTCCCTGTCATGTGAATATTCTAATGAAACTTTTAAATATTAATATTTCACAGTAATTTGACCATACGAACTGTGAAATTATGCCATCTTAAGATCTACATATCTAAACTAGTTTTTCTAGTTGGTTAGGACAACCCTTTTTTCTGGTTTTCATAATGTAGAATCCGTTGAAAAGGGACCCCAAATCTTTTTGGTTTCTATGTTCACATTTGGTTGGTTGTCCTTTTATGACCGTAACCCTCCTTTTGTTTCAGTGGAAAACATTTTTTGAAAAATGTTTTTTGCATGGTACGACGGAAAACTTTTTTGTGGTCTGACAAAAAACAAGCTTATTTCAGTGGAAAACATTTCCTACTTTTGAATAGTGAAAAATATTTTCCCGACTAAAGTTCTTACCAATGCCACCAAAAACCTACCACAGCCAGTGCTGCCATCACCGTCGCCACTGCCACTGCCACCACCACCACCACCATCATCACTTCTACCAACCTACTACCACCTCCCACCTCCACTACGGCTACTGCTACTGCTACCACCACACCGTCTTTGCCTCTGCCGCCAACTCCGCCCGTGACCGCCACTAATACAACCACTAGCACTTTAGTTTCATGGCTGCAACCAAACATTGGAAATGTTTTCTACGAAGATATTTTCTGGAAGAAGTTTTCTGTAGAAAAGGTTTTCTATTGGAAGAAAATGTTTTGCACCAAAACTAGAGGATCCTAAGTCACTGCCCAGATTAGCTAGGAAAACTTTAATTTTTATTTTTATTTTTTTAAATAGATAGACTAAACCCTTTGTAATTTGTGCTTGCAGCCCCAGAAAATGGTACCAGCAACTCCTGCTAAAGAGCTGACCAAGGCTACTGCTTAAAAGGGATCTCTTATTCACAATTGGAGCAGCTTCTTTTATTAGGTTTATCAGAGCTTAGCAATAGGTTTGAGCAAGAAAATTGCTAGTGTGGTCCTTTTTCTCCTTTTCTTTTTATTTTTTATTTTTATATTTATTTCCTTTAGTGTGCTAAAATTATGGAAGAAAATAAAATCTTTTGCTTTTTCGGCTGTCAAGTGAGGTTCAATTGGAACAATTTTGATCGCAGATTACTCGTATGTTCTTCATTTTGGAAATAAGAGATTGGATGAGTGGCTAAATATTTTCACATGTTTAGTGAAATCATGCCATTTTAGCATGAATAAAAAGAATAAGAACATCATGTCATGTTATGGTTATGATTATGGTTTGTGGATCGAATTATTCTACCAATTAGCTTAATCAATGAGCTTTGACTGCAATTGGGATAAACTTTTCTTTCTAGTTTGCAAGCATGATGATGTAAACTTGCCTTGCTAGGGTTATAGTTTGTTTGCATGATCTTCAAATGTTTGCTTGGTTTCAATTATTATTTTATGGGAGACCAAGTCAAGATGTAACAGATCAACCACTCTATACCAAATTATTGTTGATCTTTTTCACTCCTGTCTCTTAGGTCGTGTTTGGATTTTGAATATGTGGAGGGAAAATAATAGGAAAGGGAAATTTGTTTTGCAAATATATTTGAAGGGGACAAGCAGAGGGGAATTTGTGCTAGACAAATGGGCCAAGCAAAACCTACGTGGGCCTTGTTCTTGACCTAGTGACCAGGCTACAAAATCTTTGGCCAGTGAGATCAGGCCAAGTGATGGGCTTGAGTAGATGGAATGAGGGCATCATTCTTGGCCAAGGTAAAGGCGATAGCCGAGCTAAGTTGGCACCCCAAAGCCAAATCGAGCCGAGTATGAGAAGTTGACAAGACTACCGAGCTACGAGTTTCAATCGAGAAGGGTTACATGAGGTTTGATTGAGATGCAAGCCGGGCAGGGAAAGTTGTGCGTGGCAGTTTGGCCAGAGCCAATCTGGTCTTGAGGGTGTTTGAGGTGGACTAAGCTAGAGTTAGCTTGGTTGGTATAAGCTACGTGGCCCAATTGGAGTGTGAGGAGGAAAACTCGTCGTTCGTATATGTCAATACCGTTTGGAGGTCTTGTTAGTGTTGTTTGGCAGTATTGGTGCATACACGTGTAAGGCAAAGAGAGGGTAGTACATCCATGCGTCCAAGAAAGGACAAGCAAGGTGGTGCGCGCACAAATTATATAAACCTTGTGATGCCTCTATGCAAAAGTTCTGCAACTTTCTTTATTCTGAACTATCTTGTTTTAGTCTTTTTTTACTCTCTCTAAGGGTGTTAACTTGATCGTCGGAGGGGTTTTTCGGCGCACACCAGCCAGGTAACTCACCGTCATTGCGTTTTTAGGCTATATGACATTGTTTGGGGCGAAACAGAGTTTAGACGCAAGGAGTAAAAAAAAAGAATATTTACTCCCCGTACAGTTGATATTGATCAACTCCTGCAAATTTGCAATACAATGCAACAAGGCAAATTTGCTAAATGCTATTTAGCATGTGCAATGTGATTGGGGAAATTCTATTTGTACACTACAAAAATTTTAATACATACTATTTGTCGTTTGGGATAAACTTTTAAACAAAAGTCAAATGTTTAGATATAAATTTATGAACAAAAATGAATTGTTCAGATATACATTTTCTTCACTATTTGTTTGAATAATTATTTTTTGTTCTTGAGTTTTTGTTCGAATATTTGACTTTTGTTTGGATGTTCATATTCAAACAACATAAATAGTGTGTAATGAGATTTTTTGTAATGGGTAAATAGAATTACCCATTCCAAATAGAATTTTAGTAATTTATGTTGTGTTAAGATATTGATAAAGAGGAAGTTGTGTTAAGATTTTAAGAAGTAAATAATTTTTTTTTTAATTTTTATTTAAAGACTGTGTTTGAATTTTAGATATGTGAAAGGATTTGGAGAGAGAAGATAAATAGGATGAGATTTTTTAAAATAATTTGGTTTCTATTTCATTCATTTTTTTTTCTTTCTTTTTTAATATTCAAATACAACCTAAAAAAAGGTACCAATGACTAAGGACATAAAGGTTTTATATCTCCAGTAGTCCTCTAGTGGGTTGATTGTTATTCTCTCTTGGTGATGTATGGCCGCGAGTTTTGTTCCCCCTCCGTTATCACATTCTTGCATACCCTAATAACATGTCAAAATTTGAGATATTCTCTTTCATTTGTTCTATACTTTATTAAAGTTGAAAGTAATGCCAGACAATCATATAATCACATGTTTTGCTAAATATCAGCTCTATCATACTAGTTATCAAGTTAGCCATTTTAGTTTTGACGGTTTTGACTCAACAAATGTAATTAGTAGTTTATTCTAACCGAACATTAAAAAAATGCTACTTTTTATATTTTAGAATTAATTGTGTTGAGTTCATAAAAAATAATTTCAAATTAAAATGAATAAAATAATATTTAAATAGTAAAGAGAAATAATAGAGAGTTTGTTAGAAAATATATTTTAAAAGATGTAAAACTAAAATAATAATAAATTAACTTTTAAAGTTAAGATATAACAAAATTTTAACTAATTTGATATTGGTGCTCTAAGTAGTTAAAGAATTATGATATAATAATGCTTGTCCAAAATGAATTTATTCATACCTTTTGAAAAAATGTCTACAAAATGAATTATTAGTTTAAAATTGTTGGTCTTATATTCAAAGAGTACATTGGCCCTGTTTGGTAGAGCTGTGGGAAAGTGATTATAACTTATAACCTAACAGCTTATAACTGTGAACATAAACTGATTTTTGACTTATAAATTAAGTTTCTCCTCCTCCACTCAACGAATAAGTTGATTTTTGACTTACAAAAAACTATAAATTGTATTGTTAAGCTGAACCAAACACATCAAAATAGCTTAAATAAAGTTAAAAGCTAAAATAAGCTGGAAATAAACCCTACCAAACAGGGCCATTAATCCCATCCAAAATTGTGAACTCCATTTATATAAATCAATTAAAACTTGTACATTGTTTCCTCTTTTTAATAGTATGTGAACAACAACATTTGACTCTTTTTTTGTCAAACTATATATTATCTCCAACAACTTTTGTGTTTCTATTTTTTTTCTACTTTGACAAGTCAAACACCAAAAAAAAATAAAAAAATAAAAAAAATGTCTAACAGTCTCCCCACTCAACTCCATGGTTCCCTAAGTTTTATTACAGATGATAGTTGAAAAAGTATTTTCTTAGAATAAAAAAATAGTTTTTATTTAAAATTTGAGAAAAAACAAAAATAATACTGTACAAAGTTAGAGTCCCATTACACCACCATATTCATTTAGTAGATCATGCAAAGTGCAATGAATTCTAATTAAGACAATCTCAAACGACTACCCACCACCACTCATAAATGCATTCTCATCATCAGCAGCTTTGTTCCAACTTGACAAGAATTTATTCAGTGATTCAGGGTATGCCCTAGGGGACACGGGGATGCTCATGGCACAGCGGCCGTGCTGTGAGAGTTATTGGAGTTTTTTTTGGCTTTATTTTGATGATTTAAATTGTTTATATTATAGGGTTTGTTAAACATATTATTCATAAAAAAATAAGGTAATTGGACATCTATAGTCCAATTATTAAAATAATGTTAAGCATTTATCTTTTTTAAAAAAAACAAATGTAGTTTTGTTATGAGATTATAAATATTCAATTGATTTAATCTTTTATATGAATAATTTATTCGATAAATCTTACCATATAAACGATTTAAATAATAAAAATAGACTCGGAAAAAAACCACCAAAGCCTCTCATAACAAACTGTTGTGCCACTCAGTTCCCAAGGTGGAGGTCACAGTCATATGGTGTCTCAACTTGAACGTGATTGGTGGAAACGATGAGACTCACCTATTTATGAAATTGTGATGGCTGTTATGTAAAAGACACAATAATCACTGTTGTACAATCAATGAAATCATTTCGATAATTTTAACGGTTCATTTTTAAGGTAAATTGAGTAGAATATAAATGCAAAAAAATTAAATTAATTAGACATTGATAACTCTTTCATCAAATAATATGTATTCAGTTTTATATTTCAAATCATATTTACTATTTATTTTTTAGATATAAATACAATTCGATGAAAAGACTATCAGCCTCCGTTTGGGAAGTGGGTTGGCTTTTTAATTTTTTGGCTTTTTTAGCTATTTTAGCCTGGGCTAAAAAGCTTGGTTTGGGAAGGGCTTTTTGGCTTTTTGACTTTTTTGACTTTTTTTGTGAGAGAAGAATGTAATGATTATAGGTTGGATGTGATATCCGCCGCACAATAGTGGTTTCTAGCCACTCCAATTTCTTATGTTAGTGCTTGGGAGAACATCACAAGTAAGTATGATAATTGGTGATTAATTAGAAACATAACACGTAATATCCTGAAACAGAGAATAATTTTCCAACTTGATAGTGTAATGGAATGGACCCACATCTCTTGGAGAATCACAATCAACTCTTTGATTTCAATGTTGACAAAGTCACAAAAAGATAGATATTTATGTCATCAAATAAAAATAAATAAATAAATAAAATAATTTGTTAGATAGGTTTGGGACTATTTTAGCTACAAAAAATAAAATAGGTTATTTTAGTCATAACAAACAAAACATCACATCCAACCCATAATCAGTACACTATTCTCTCACAAAAAAAAGTTAAAAAGGTCAAAAAATCGTTCTCAAACCAAAATTTTTAACCCAGACTAAAATAATAAAAAAATCAAAAAATTAACCCACTTTCTAGACGAAATAGTATCACTTTGCAAGTTTGCAATACGAGACATGGTTGATAGAGATATACAACCATATTTTGAATGATTTACTTCAATTATGATAGCTTCAACCTCACCGAATTAGGGTGCAACGAGTTGTGCGTTTTGGTACCTCAACCGTGCATTTATAATTATATTAAATAGATTATTTATGTAAAATAATAGATTAATCATACATTCACAATCACATGATCAACCACATTTCTTTTATTAAAGTTGGACGACAAATATGATTTGAGAATAATTTTTTAATTAGCAAAAGTCAATTGTTAATTAGTAAATAATTCTGGGAAGGAGTTGAAACCTCAACCTCTCCTTTATACAACCTAAGTGCGACTTCCATGTAAATATCAATATTCGATTAAATTAATTTTTTACACTAATCAACAAATTTACACACCAAAAAGCACAACGTGCCCATTCTCATGCCGAGCAAGGCTTCCCTCTAACTAAAAATGTTGTTGGATCTGCATGGGCTCACTAAAGAGCCC